ACGTGAACCACGTCTTTTAAAAGACGTAACGTTCGCACTTGGGTATATATATCGAAAATGGTTCATTTTCAGTGTATGCAAATTTCGAAAATGCGATCATTTGTTGCATGTTCTGGGTAATTAATTCATGATATTTAAACAATTCCGGTTTTTATTTTGCTCCATCTTTTCTCTCTATCCCGTACTCTGTCCTGTTTTACAGGTCTAATTAATGCACAGCGCTTGCGAATCGAGGACCGACTCACCGACCTCAACAACAAACCAATCGATGTGAGTACTCGTTTAATGAGTTGAATTAATCATCCTGAACAATCCCTTACACGGTTGAGTGCGTGTGATTTAGCACAGCCATTGTTTGAAATGCTCTTCAATTATCTCTTAATTTGTAGTTTATTTGTATGAGTTGCTTTTAATTTGTTAATTAGAATGTATTTTAACGGTTTTCCACATTTTCTCGTCTCGGCTCATTTTCACCACTCTCTTGCGTTTGCTTTTCTTTCGTTCGGTTATATTTTGATTTGCACATGTTCACATTGGTTTTTATTGATTCATTTCATTCTCTTTTCTCTCATCCGTTTTCCTTTTCAGGTCATTGTGGTGTTTGAAATTTCATACAAATCGCCCGATGACGAAGCGGGAAACTTTGAACCGAGACATTTGGTTGATCCGATCCAGCGTCAACATCATCACGTCCACGGACAGTCGGACAGCATCGATGATGACCAACAAAAATTGCTTGATATCGAGCAAAACATTGCCAATTTGGAGAAGAATTTGATTCGTGGTATGAACTGATTGATATCGTCTATTCAATGTTGTTCACAAGCAAATATTTGCCATTTTTATTCGAAGGATTCTTAGAGATTTGTTCAATTCGTTGACTTTGTCTCATGTTTTATTTTGGTTGTCGAAAAATTCAAAGTGGTATGCAATTACGTTTTTTTCATTCCAATTGTTTAATAGATAAGGATTCGGATGAGTGTCGTCAACCGCGCCGCAGTCGAAAACGGGATTTTTTGAAGCGAGTCATGTCATCATCACATCATCGTTCAAATACCATTGAAATCAGTGATTCGGAACGCAATTTCGACGCACCAACGAGAGATGCTAAATCAATAGTAAGTGAATTTCCGTCGAACTTTCCGTTTCGCTCTCGATTCGAACGTTCACGCTCCCGGAGATGTTGTACATACACATCAAACAACCATTTTCCATGTGATGAATGTACACACTCCTATCAACATTTTAGAGCTTTTGTTTTTATATTCGTCTGCGCTGAAAATTCAATACATCGCATTTGTTGCTGTGGGCCATTCATCTTTTCGCTTTCAATATTTTCAACAAAAATTTGTTTTTGATCCCTCAAAATCAATTGCGATGTTTCACATTTTTTGTCATGCAAAAACGGTTCACGAGAAAGGTTAATCTGGTTTAAAATGAAAATTTATATCCAAAATGTAAAATTGGATTTTATCGGGAAAATGCTTAAAAGAGACGCAGTAGTTTCCAAGTTGAAAACGCCAACCCGATGCGTGATTTAGTTGGCATTTTCATCCGAATTGAGCAAACTAATGTCTACGTTGAAATGAAAGTTTAGCACAAAATGTACGATTCCATGAGAAAATCATAGCCTTAACCATCCGTAAGACGTTATTTTTGCTTGCTCGTGGGAAACAAAAACTATACTTTTGCAACTGTTGATTCAGAGCTTCCGTCATTCAATTCCACGTTTCGTGTGTCTATGCCGTTAAAAAATTAAAATGTCGAAATCATCGAGTCGGAGGTACCTTACCAGCAATCATAATGGCATTATTTATGCCATGATTGAAGAACAATTGAAATGGAAATGTTACCCATAGTTTGAGTGGTATAAAAGAATGAACAAGGTTTGAACGAGCTTTTTCACGAAATGCCTATATAAGCCTTGTGCCGTACCATACTGATTTGTTGTCTGACTCTGTAATTGAAGGCATTTTAATGATGAAGACGAATGCGTTAGCAAAGCCGCCATCACGTTTTGTCTGTTAACAAAAGTTGTGTGTTTGATTTCTATTAATGAAAGGAAAATCCGGGTAGCAGTAGCAAAGTGCATAGCTTAAATGAGAAGAAGGTGAGCTTGCGAACGGTGCGGCAATTCATGCGGCTAGGTAAAAGTAAACAGCAATCAAGTCGACGAGACAGCAGCACAGAAGATGAAAATAGGTAAGATTCAGCATCGATATTTACAAGCAACATGTCAAAACCAAAGTTAAACCAATGGGAAAAAAAGCCAATTAGTTCTATCTTAAGTGGCTGACTTTGGATCATCGTCACTTGATGTTATTCGCCGATTTAACACTAATTTATGGTCGTGATTAACTGAGCGGAATCGTATTAAATTTATCGTTCATAATCGTCGTGTAAATTAGGTCACTGATTAGCGATGTGGACGGTGGTGGATTTACCTCGGCACACGATTCGCAAAACGATCGAAGCGATAACATTTCGCAGACACCGTCATACGATTCGAGTGATGGCGAAGAGGAGGAAGAGTTTACAGTGGAAAGCAAGAGCAAACGGTAATATAATACGAAGAAAATCATTGAATCAAGTGATTTGCTCAAATCTTTTTATGACGCATCATCATTTATCAAATTTCTTATTATGTGGATCCGATAGAGTGCGACCCGTAACACGACTCGAACAGCATTTAAAGGCTCAAGACTTTCAAGTGTGTGTAACGATAATCGAAGCACGACAACTGCCCGGTTTGAATATGGACCCAGTCGTGTGTATTCAGATTGGTGATCAGAAGAAATACACGTCGGTGAAGGAATCAACAAATTGCCCGTATTATAACGAAGTGAGTCTCTTTTCACATTTTCGAATTGCGCAAACACATCCATTTATCAAGTCATTCTTTTATAAAATAATTTGCAACCATCAATGAAATCTCTTGCGGAGGTTCGATGAAACTTCCACCAATATATGATAGCCATCACATGAGAAATGTAAAATGTTTTATTCTCTTCTCTTTGTTTACACTTTCAGTATTTTGTATTTGATTTTCACATGGCCCCAGCGATGCTGTTTGATAAAATTATTACGCTGTCGGTGAGTAGATCGTATTCAGATTGTAAAAATGTATTATTTATTCAAAATTCAGTTTGCTTACTAACAACAATGTTGATTGATGTAAATCAGTTACTCATCTGCCGGAATCAACAGAAAAAAAAAAGAAAAAAACACAACACATTCTTGTGAACAGTCTTGTGACGACGAACAACTTTTCCTCGTACACACTTCGAACAAAAATTTTAATAACAAAAGTTTTTCGCACGAAATAAGAGCACAGCACACAGGAGATGTATTTTGTAAAAAAAAATGCCAAGTCTTATCTTTACCAGCGCAAAACATTACACAACCATCGTCTTGCCCGTTGCAAATAAGTTGTGAAAACATCGTTATCCTAGTGAACCGAGTATATTTTTTGTTCGCTGCTCCTATTTCATTGAAACAAATTCTTTCGTCTTTCAATTCACCCATTGGCAAGGATAAGTTCATTTTTTCATAGTCGATACATAGAAATAGCCTGCTTTCATTTTCATTTTATTTATTGTGTCTTGTGCACAAAATCCTCTCGATAAAACTTTAATATTGTCATTCGATCACATTGTCAATCGTTTACTTGACTTCGCGACACAGTTTGCGATGTATAGAATGTTTGGGTTATTTTTGCAGCGCATTGCAATTTTTATTATCCAACAATAGTATGCAAATTGAAGCTTATGCTATATATTCACTTCGGCTTATGGCAAATGCGCTGCTGTTGCCAAACGATGCAAAATATATGCTGAATAAGTTATCAGTTACTTACAAGATACGCCATGCGAGATATTTGATATGCGCACTGAAAATGTGATTTTTCAACAGAAATATTGACGAAATGGTAATATGAAACGAGTCAAGCAAACAAAATTTAACAGGCTGTTAATTAATTTGTTTGAAGCAAACAGCGCGTGAATTTGTAACATTTGATTCGTATTTCTGCATCTATCTCCAATGGAATTTTATGCATGAACAAGTTTCAGCTATGTTATGAGTCGTATCATATGACTGTCAACGAATGAATTCGAAAGATTTTCCAGCACAATTTTGACGGGCAACCTATACTATGGTGAAATGTATCTCTAATGCACATACGAAAATGCTTCTGACATTTTTTAAATTTTCATTTCAAAAACGGATAATTTTCATGATGGAAAATGAAAATGTGCTTTAAAAGCAAAAAAGAAAGTTATTTCATGAACTTTAGGAAGATTTTTTGCCTTTTTCCAAAAAAAAAAAAATCGGTTTCTTCTCTGCGATTTTCATTCCAAGGTCAAAATCTTTTCTTTTATTTTTTCCTCAAATTGCGTGCTTTTACAAGAGGCAAGTCTAGTATCATGGTCGAACTATGTCCGCCTTTGTCCGCATAGCCCATTCATATTTCATTGGTCAATTTCGAATTCCATCTAATATTTATGAGTTATGTCAATAAGAAAATTCAATGACATTTCCTGATGGATAGATCTAGCACACAATTACTATTGTGGAATATTCAAACATTCTTGTCACATAAAGCAATATGAGCAATAACGGCGGCTATTGCACGAGTTTCCTATTTGGATTAATGCAGAGCTTTTTGTTTGAAAATGGTTAATCAAAGTGCTTTCTTCACCAATGAAACCAACATGTATGGAAGAAAATCGCATTGTGTGTTTTATTCTCAACGTATGTGAGAGAAACAATTTTATGTTAAATACGAAAAGAAGCTCGAAAAACTGAAAGAAACCATTTTATTTACGCTCAAAAACGGAATTGAATAGTTTTACGACGGTAATAAAAACTTTCCCGGCTCCCAATTTAATTTCACTTGTTTTCAACTGAAAATTTAATTAACCAAACTCGTCATTTTCCGGGAATGAAAAAAAAAACAAAATCTTGAATTTATCCACGATTTCATCTCGAGTACACTTCATTTGAGATTTCATGACTTTAGTTCTTTTGCGTCATAGTGAGATTTTCGCTACATTTTCGCGGAAAACCAGAGTGGAATATTATATTGTAACGTTTCGGCGAAACGACATAGAGATACATAAAAATGAATTAATGAATAGAATAATCTGGCATCATTTTGGGGTAAAATTTGATGTTCAAACATTAACATTGAAATATCCATTACCAAAATGCTGTAGTCGAAATCAAACAGGCTCTTCAACATATAGATGAATGCAAATGCCCAGCAACAAACTTTATGTCATTGAATCAATGTTGTAACATCTTGGTGCATTGATGTGCCGAGGTTAGTGTTTCAAGTGGATAAAAATTCGTCTCTTTAATACCGGATATCATGAAAGTCGAAAATGCCAATCAAACCTAATTACTTTTCGCAAACTTGGATGTGATGGTGTGGTATCATCTCATGGACATTCCCTCTCCCATAAATTGTACAAAAATGGCGATTTTTCATGCGGTCATTTACAGATTAACGAATGACATATTAAGCTTAGAGACAGTCATAAACAGAATGATGCGTACTTCGATGATTGTCATCATAAATGCGGACCACTGGCAATGTCATGACGATTGACATTGCTTCGTTGGGCACGTGAATAATTTATGAGATCGAACTGTTAACATTAATTTAAAATGCATAAGCACATATATGCTGGGTACGCAATATGCGCTACACATGCCAAGTGGTGAATTATTAAAACTCTCTATGCCCCAAGCGTTCGCAACGATTGCAATACAAAATAAATTGTCGTGATTACTCTCTTTCTCCATCTCTCTTCGTAGGTGCTTCATTCCAGGCGATTTCTGAGATCAGGAACCGTAGTCGGTTCATTTAAAATCGACTTGAAAACGGTGTACGATGCAAAGGGTAGCGTTAATTTCTTCTCTTGTTGTGATTACAATGACTCCATTGAGTTGACTTTTTAAAATTCTGCGTGTTACTTGCATCAAGGTCTTGTGTAGAATGTTTCATTTCTTACTCTTTTTCTCTCTCTTTCTCTCTCTCTCTTGGAATGTATGGGATAAGTGTAATGCTCATGAATATTTTCTACCTCTGGATATTGATTCGAATGAACTGTTCGCTTTGAATCGATGTTGAAATCTTTTTCAATTTTAAAAATTAATTTGGATTCCTACATCTCCCCGGAGACTTTATCTACTATAAACTAATCATTGAAATGCGATTTCTCAATGTACTGCCACTTCGACAAAGTTTAATGTGTGCTTGTGTTTCTCTTTCTCTGTTTTTTTCTTTTGCTTCTATCTTTTCGTTTTCTCTTTCTCTCTTGCTGTTCAACTCTCTCCCGAATGCCTCAACTCATCAACCTCACCTGCATCTCGTCTAACATTCTAAACTCTGTAGATTTTACAAAGTAGAAGTGTTTTACGTCCGAATAAATTGATCGGTTCATTTAAATTGGATGTGGCAACTGTTTGGCTACAGAAAGGTTTGTCTAAAACACAAGTCTAAAACACTCTCTCAACTCTCTTTCTCAACACTTTTCACACACTGTCTCTATCACTCACACTTTTCCACATTTTCAAATCATTGCTAATGGCTATGCATTTGGTACGTGCTGTACTTGGGTTACAATCCCCTCAGCATACACAGGAAAAATAATTCCTTCTATCCTATCTCATCAGTCGGTGTGAATTGCATGACCCATTATCACTTCTAGTTACTGACTCGTTTTTTTCAGGGCTCTTCAATTTCTTACGTTCCCTTTGTTTGAATAGTTTCTGAAACTGAAAGCGTGCCTCTTGTTCCCAATGGGATGCTGAACTGAGCTTAGTTTCGTAATTGTTAATCATTTCACACAGTAAAAAATTGAGCCGTGCATGACATATCCGTTAATGACTAATTTCGTTATATATTGAAAGTGAAAAATACGCAAACATCCATTTTAATTACTTTTCACCCACACCATCGACACGTCTTAGAAACTTATTAATTGCATGTTGTGTCATTGACATGTGTATGACGATAGCAAAGCAAACGAATCACCATTTTAACGCAGTGAATTGCAAAATATGCACATGGTAGCATTCGTTTGTTGTTCGTTGTTGCTGCTTATTGCGCTTAAATAATTTATGAAAATTCACAGTAAACTCCAATACAAAGTCTTGTTTACAACGCACCAACCAGAAAATGCACAGCGAGTAATTGTCCAGTGGGGAATTTTAATTTATCCGCAAAAATCTTTGCATAATTCACAAACTGCAGTTGCGATTACGAACCACCACGAAAGAATTATCACTTGAAGTTTTCCATTTAATGAAAACGCAAACTTTTCATGCTTTTTCTCCCTCGTTCGCTTTCTCTCTCTCTCTCTGCTTTGGCATTTCTCGTTTGTGCCAACGACGATTTTGTTGCTCCGTTTCCCCATGTGCTGTGCACGCATATTTCTGCAAATCTAATTATTTCACGAAACTAAAACTGTACGTAACGACCAATTCCAATGTATAATTTTCCCCAACAGCTATTATTAAATATTTGGTGTGTGTTTGTGTATGGCTTTTGTCGATTAGTTGTGCATTTTTCAAATAACCAACTGTTTGCATGGATTTTCTGCATGCAAACACATTTTCCCGGTTAAAATAATAATAATTTTAGTTTTTTCTTCTAAATCGGTCTTAATTTGTGTTTATATTTCCAACGGAAAATGTATTTTATTAGTATTGCATGCATATATTCCCGTCCGTGTGCATAAACGGTTCTAATGAAATTGGCGTGTATTCATTTTCAAAATAATAGACCATCAATTTTACCATAAATGGGCGCTGCTAACGGATCCCGATGATTTTATAAGCGGTCCAAAAGGCTATTTAAAATGTGATATTGGCATCATTGGGAAGGGCGATACCGTGAAAATGCAACCAAAATCCGAAAAAGACCATGATGACATCGAAGCGTATGTTCTTGTTTACTCTTTTTCATTTCATTATTTTCGAACTTTGAATATTTCGAAATGGAAAAAAATCGTCTGTTGTTGAAATTATCTCATTCGATAGGAATCTATTATTGCCCGAAGGAGTACCGATTGAACGGCAACGAGCCAAATTTGTGATCAAAATCTATCGTGCTGACGGTTTGCCGCGGATGAACTCATCAATAATGGCGAATGTCAAGAGAGCTTTTACCGGCGAATCGAAAGATTTAGTCAGCCCATTCGTGCATGTCTCGTTCGCTGGATTATCGGTGAGTTTGTCTGTGTACCACACGCTTTGTTTTGTTCCATTGTTTCCACGCCGAAATTACACTTGGTGCAATATTCAAAGCGGCTCACCGTTTTATGAGCGCAATATTTCGTCGAGATTGAATGGCTAAAGAGATATTTTTCGATTATGTTTCGCGTGCACAGGGTAAAACCACGGTAAAAAAGAACTCGTATAACCCATCGTGGAATGAGGAATTGATATTCACCGAAATGTTTCCGCCGCTATGCCAACGTATTAAGGTTGGTTCGTGGTTTTCGTTTTTATTTCTTCATTCAAACACACATTGATTCTATACGAGGGAATGTAATTTTACTTTTGCCAAACAGGTTCAACTGAGAGATGCTGATCCGATGAAACCGTCGATAATCGGAACACATTACATTGATCTAAAACAAATATCGAACGACGGTGAAAAGGGATTTCTGCCAACATTCGGACCATCATTCATTCATTTATATGGATCGACACGAGACTACAGTCTGCTGGACCAACACTCAAATCTCAACACTGGCCTCGGTGAAGGTGTTAGCTATCGGTAAATATTTGGAATTGCATGTTTTTTATTTGCACATGAAAAGTGATATGTGTTTTGATTTTTCCCATTTGCGGTACAGTGCCCGCTTGCTCATTGCCATTCGCACCGAAATAACGGATAATGTGGAAACAACGATGGAGAAAAATGGTAAACAAATTGATTTGTGTGGAAATAACCATCACGCAAGAATAATAATAATCAAATAAACGTTTGCTTACATTTTGTGCAACATGCAGTTGAATTGCAACCGACAATGCCGGTGTGTGAGACATCGTATTCAAAAATCGAGGAATTTTTCCTTTTTTCAACGATTATGGAAGCGACGATGATCGATAAAAAGCTCAGCGATAAATCCGTTTACTTTGAATTGAGTGTGGGGAATGCGGGCAACAGTATTGACGGTCACAACGAGAGTCAATGCAGTAACGTTGGCGATGATGGTGAACTCGAGACGGTAGATACGACTGCATTCAACAGTACAACCAATTCGTGTAAGCCCATTTCGCATGATAAATTGTATTATTATCTACCGTATTGGGACTACAAACCATGCATGAACGTACGATGCCATTTTCCCGATCTGAGGCGTCGTATGTACAATAGCAACATGATTGCGAAACTGGTCGATGCAATGGTGAGTCGTAAATAAGTAAATTTCATTAGACGCAGCAAAATGGTTTTTGAGCTGAATGCTGAAAATATTTTCTGTCTTCATTTTATTTGTTTTTTGTTTTGCCTCTGCCCCTCCCCCCCCATTCACCAGGAGGAAGGACTGCACAATACAAACTCACTCATCGAAAATGAAGACGCTCGTGCCGAAGTGAAATTACGTACAACACTTGAAGAGCTGGCTTCGGGATGCCTGAAATATGTTGCCATTACAAAAAATAGCCTGACGGGACCGGGCACTGGCAAAACCAAATTGGATAAAGAACGCATGAAACTGTGCGAACGTGAAATTGTAATTCCATAACGCCTTTTTTACGATTGTGACAACATTTTGACAAGTTTTTTTTTTCTTATTCTACTTCGTCGGAATGTTTTAGGAAGCCATTGGGAATATGGCACGGAATCTGCGTGCATTAGTGACGAAAAATTCCATGAAGGAACGCTTTCGAACGGCTCAAACCTATTTACAAAAGTTGAAATTCTTAGTAGATGATGTGGGTGTTCTTTTATTTCACACAAAAAAAAACCACATTTCATTTGAATGGAGAAAAGTAGATGTCGTAATACAATATGATTTTCCCAATTTCTTTAGCCTCAACATTCGTTGCCCGATGTCTTTATTTGGCTCATTGCAAACGGCAAACGAATTGCGTATCATCGCATTTTTGCACGTGACTTAATTTACTCAATGATCGAAGAAGAGTGTGGAATTCATTGTGGCAAAGTACAAACAATTATGCTACGTTTGCCAGGGAACAAGTCGAACACGCCCGCTGGATGGACGGTTCAATCGAAGCTCTCAATTTATCTGTGGTTGGGTATTATTCAAAATCGACAGTTTAGTTACTCCGGTTTGCCAAAGGGTTTTGATTTGTCACCTGAAATTCGAAACGCTGAACGACCCGGTGCTTTGGCACCGTCGAACATTCATTATTTGGAGAAACACGTAAGTATTAGACGAATCAATTAATTTGAAGTGGTTTGTAGGCACAAGAAAACATATGAACACAAATTGAACACCAAACTGAAGAATGGAGGTTTAACGATAGTATTTGTTGAGTAAAATTGAAAGGCATCTTTTGCAAAAGATGCATCCGTCCCAAATTCAATTTTTCTATCGAAATTTGGGTGAACTCTCCATATTCATCTTTTGTCCTCCATTTCAGACGTTTCAATTGCGTGCTCACCTATACCAAGCACGATCTCTAATCGGTTCTGACGCCTCTGGTCTAAGTGATCCTTATGCCACGGTTTACATAACGGAATTTGCAAAAACCACACAGGTGATTGAAGAGACTTTGAGCCCAACGTGGGATGAGTTGCTCTTATTTGATGATGTGCTTGTTTATGGGACGAAAGAAGAAATTAAGAAAAATCCACCGACAGTAGTAATCGAAATTTATGACCAAGACAAGGTGGGAAAGAGTGAATTTATTGGGCGAACGATTGCAAAACCGCGCATAAAGTTAAAAGAAAATCCTTACGTTATACCCACGTTGGACTGGTTTGCCATCGAAAGAGGTTTGGACAATGCGGGCGAACTGTTGGCTGCATTCGAAATGATTGAGTATGGTTCGGAAAATATTGGTAACTTACCCGAACCAAAGCCACTAAATTATGAGTTTCCAAGAGGTGAATATTCGTTTTATTTTCGAAATTAATTTCGAGCAATTTATTTTCATCATAAAATTCGAATTTTTATTAATTTTTCTACCTTCTGTTGGCGTACAGAAAGAAGTAGTTTACCGATCCAAACAATAATGCCCGTTCCCCGTGAGATTCGTCCGCATTTGGCGATGTATCGCTTGAAAGTGCTGTTATGGGGTTTGCGCGACTTAAAGCGCATTCATTTCATGAGCGTTGATCGCCCACGTATCGATGTTGAATGCTCCGGTAAAATATTGAGCTCGAGCATCATACAAAATGCGAAAAAGAATCCCAATTTCCCAACTATGCTCAAATTTTTCGATCTCGAGCTACCGATCGAAGAAAATTATGCACCACCAATCACAATCCGATGCGTGGATTGTAGGTCATTTGGAAGATACACATTGGTGGGCACACATCAAATAACTTCGATTCATAAGTATATTCATCGGCCAGCACCTAAGGAAGACGTGTCAAAGTATTCGACTCAAGGTGGACAAATAATTCTCACTGTTAAAACACCAAATGCTCAGAATGGTGTTGAAGACAAAACAACAGCACCAAAAAATTCGTCCTGTGAATATATCACTCAGTATGGGGCTGTTTGTGTCTCGAAAATGTGCGTATGCTAAGCCATTACCTTATTGAATATGTTTTTATTAATTGTTTGTTTACTCAAACTAAGGAAATTATTTTCAACCAACATTTTCAGAACGTCGAAGAAAAGCGACCGTCGAAAAATTGCGTTGGAACCGCAAGAAACCATCGATCCGGATGAGGATGAGAATAGCAAAGATTGGTGGACGAAATACTTTTGGTCACACGAAGTACTATCCGAACTGAAAAGTCCATTTCCTCAACGAAAAACTCAAACTCAGCGTGAGGAGAAATTGAAAATCGGTCTCAAAGGTGTTAAATTAGTAACTAAGCTCAGTCCAAAACATGCCAAAAAAGAAACGGTGGAAGCTGTTAAGCCGAACAAAGCATTATGTCATATTTACAATAATGAACTTGAAAATTTGCCCGATTACAACAATTTCAAAGAGTGGCTACTGTCATTCCCACTGTTCAGAGGTAAAAAGACTGGTGATTCGACGGAAGATGAGAATCGCATTGTGGGTTTCTTTAAAGGAGCTGTAAAAGTCTATAGACTTCCGCTCCCCAAAGACGTTGAACCAGCATTCGCGCCAACAATACCAACCAATGACCCAATTCACGTGTTGGTTCGAGTTTACATCGTGAAAGCGACTGATTTGCACCCGATGGATTTGAATGGCAAGGCCGATCCGTACGTGGTGCTTCAGTTGGGCAGCAAACGTGTTTCTGATAAGGAAAATTACGTCAGCAAACAATTGAATCCCGTGTTTGGTAAATGCTTTGAAATTGAAGCAACCTTCCCACAAGATTCACTGTTGAATATTCAAGTGCTCGATTGGGATTTGGTTGGATCAGATGATTTGATCGGCGAGACAAAAATTGATTTGGAAAATCGATTTTATAGCAAACATCGAGCCACCTGCGGAATTGCACTGAAATATGAAGAGTGAGTGTTAATGCATGTGAAATGTTCAATTTAGAAAGTTAACACATCAATAAACCGTTGGAAAAATGAAACATGAAACTTGTTTTCCCTTTTAGATTTGGCTACAATAGATGGCGTGACCCAATGAAGCCAACGCAAATTTTACAAAAACTCTGCAAAGACAACAAGCTCGAAACACCACATTATTTCCAAGATCGCGTCGTCATTGGGAGGTACTGTATGACATTCACCGAGGAAGAAGTTTTCGCTTGGAATGGTCCGACAACGTGCAAAAATCGCGACGAACACTTAGCGTTAGCAGTTCTCCATCGATGGTCGGAAATTCCGAATGTCGGCTGCAAAATCGTTCCCGAACACATTGAATCGCGCTCACTGTACAATCCGGACAAAATGGGCATCGAACAAGGAAAGCTTGAAATGTGGGTTGATATGTTTCCGATGGATATGCCACTTCCCGGTCCACCAGTTGATATATCACCGCGCAAACCGAAATCATATGAACTGCGCGTCGTCATTTGGAATACGGATGACGTTGTGCTGGAAGATGATGCATTCTTTACGGGCGAAAAAATGTCGGATATTTATGTAAAAGGGTATGAAAATCAGTTTTATTACTGAAAGTTAATCGGTAATCATAAAACGTTTTATTTGCGGTGCTTTGCATATGCAAAGTGTCACGGTTTTTATATTGTTATAAAAATGTCGCGTTTTTTCTACTATCAAATGACTTTATTTTAAAATGTGCTTTTTTTTCTAATAAATTTCATTTCAAATGAATTGTTTGTGACATTTTTCAATCGTTTTTTTCTGTAACTGGCAGCTGGTTAAAAGGACCACAAGACGTACAAGCAACTGACATTCATTACCGTTCATTAACTGGTGAGGGGAATTTCAATTGGCGTTTCATATTTCCATTTGACTATTTAGCAGCGGAAGAACGAATTGTGTTGTCGAGGTAAGTTTCTCGTTGATTTGCGGAATATTCGGAAATTTTCGACATTTTGTAGCTTTGCGCAAAATGAAGAATAATATTTTAGACATTTCGTTTACATTTCTTTCATTGAAGAAGCACAAATGATAGAAAAAAAAATATCAATTTTTCTTGCAGAAAAGAGTCACTGTTCAGTTGGGACGAGACGGAAATAAAGATTCCGGCTCGTTTGGAGTTACAAGTATGGGATAATGATAAATTCTCCTCAGACGATTTTCTTGGTGCTATTTCGCTAAATCTGAATCGTTTTCCCCGGGGCGCTAAGTCATCGAAATTATGTACACTGGATATGCTAAAATTGGATAATGTGCCAACAGTAAATATATTTAAGCAAAAACGCATTCGCGGTTGGTGGCCATTTTTCATTAAAAAAGAGAATGATGAATTGGAACTGACTGGCAAAGTTGAAGCGGAAATACACTTGTTGACGAAAGAAGAATCGGAACAAAATCCAGCTGGACATGGTAGAAACGAACCAGATGCGTTGGAAAAACCAAAGTAAGTTTCTTACAAAAACGATTAAAGTACAGATAAATCCCGTGTATCATCTCCACTTGTATTGTTTTTTACATTGAAGGGCGTTGCACGCACCTTAACATTCACAATACAAACTCAATGTGAGTGGAGACGCCTTATGAAAAATGGCACAGATTGCTAGTGCTAAGGTTTATCTGTACTTTCAACGTGAAATTAATTCATTTTTAATGGTTTTGTTTTCAACTAGTCGTCCGGATGCGTCGTTTATGTGGTTCTTGAATCCGTTGAAGTCCATACGATACATTGTTTGGCACAATTACAAATGGTCCATACTGAAGGGATTCATCATATTGGCTGTTGCGTTTATGTTGCTGTTATTCTTCTATTCGGTGCCCGGATACACAGTTAAGAAGTTGCTTGGTGCATAAGTAGTTGTTGTTAATGCGGTTGTGGTCACAACTTAAGTATATATATATCTCAGTCTCGAGTAAATCAAACCAAAAACACCCAAAAACTGTACAAATTCAAGCTTTCTCATTCCAATTAAGCTTTATGAAACGTTCAAATTATATTGTTAACCAAAGTGGTACACATATCCAAAGAGATTAAATTTTCTATGGCATTTACATGTAAAATCCAATTCCACAGACGGAATAAACTGACCTCGAAATCCAGAATGAGGCTATAAAATGAGTCATTTCAATTAAAATATTATCACATTCATGTTTTTCAAAGAATTTACAAGCAAAATAATCAACACATAACTTAATACGCACTGTGAACCTTCAACTCAGTTAGCAACGCTTTCAATAGAGTTAGACTTAATTCGTAAAAATCAACTCTTCAATGCATGCGTTTCAGAAGTGATTCGATTCATTGTTTTTCTTCTTTCGAATAGTTAATAGTTTTTAAACAGATTGTTCTAGACTTTGATCTGCCTATCACAGAAAGAAAACTGTCTTGTCAACTGTGTTGAATGTTGGAAAGTCTATGGATAATTTAACTGTACAAAATTGAGCATCGTAATGTTTAAGCTAATAGATGATAGAGTTTGGATTCGAATTTATGATTCGAATTATGAATGTAAAAACAAATGTAAATTTTGATCAAGAGCGACGTGCGATACAATCACTAGGAACTGTTTGATAGGTAACATTTAAGTAAGGCAAATGAAACCAATTTTTTTTTTTATCAATTAAGGTTGTTGTTATCTTAAGCAACATATTTCTTCAAATAGTAGAAAATAATATATATATTTTTGAATCTTATGTACTGTACATTAAATATTGCAAAAGAGAGTGAAATCTGTAAAATCTGTATGATAAGAAATGACTTAAGAAAACAAAAAGTGGCACTATTCCAAGGAACAACATTTGTACTCTTCTCAAATGAGCACTCAGAAGAGTCTCTCTTCCCTGCGACTATTCTGCCACAAATGCCCAAAACGATTATATGATTGATGGAACAAATTGTGAAAAATGTTGCGAATTTGTCTGTTGTGCTACGGTGCTTTCATTCGTTTTATTCGCGTTAAGTGCTTATACATATTTTATAAAGGAAAAAAAATGGTATATTCTTCGAAAATTTACTGTGATTCATGTGACATAGTTTGTAATAAATAGTGAAATGAAAAATGTGTATCAACAACAATGAACATTATTTGAAAATTAAATACAAATTTTTAATTCAATTTTAATCTCACAAAGTACAAATGAATGCACACAATTTAATCTCTTTTCGAATTTGCCATTCCATTGAAACACATTTTGTTTTTATTTCGTTCTTTTTATCAAAATTCTACGATAAGAACATTTTGAATGGAAAACAAAAATATTCAAGACTTTTAATCTAAATTCATTCAACAGTTATGTCCAGTTATGTCTCATTCAAAAAATAAAGCATCTTATGAAATCGTACTTGCTAATGATTTTATTTTCGTATTTTTCATTAATTCGTACATAAAACATTTATCTAAGTTCTGCGATTAAGTAAATAGCTAGGAGCTTATGTGGCACGCAAGTCAGTGGAGGTCTCACGAGTTGAGAGAGTTGAATTTCGAGTTATTAATTAATCACCAAATGTTTTCGACAAACGTCTTTTATGAATTTGGGCAAGTAAGTCGGGCGAGTCTTCTCTGGCTCACAATGATAAATAAGCCCCTCAGTAAATAGTGCGTTCGATAACTGTGACACCTAGATCGTTACTTGTACCATTTCTATGTATCATGCACGAACACTTCCAAGAAAATACAATCATCTTTCAAGAAGTCTTCATTTTGGATGGTCCGATGTGAAATGAAAATGTACTGATTTTGTTCGTAGGTAGAGTCCTGTTTCTTCACTACAATCGTTTTGGAAATGTTTGGCTGTTGAAAAAAGAATAGATTTTATTGCCAAATATTTTCAGTGAATAGTAATAAGAAAAGTGAGAAATCCGAATATCTCAGCTGGATGTCCAGCCCATTTTATGCTATGAGCAACCTAATTCAAAACTCACCGTAGTTGAATCGTTCGTTTGATTTCGAAGTATGATGTCAGCTTTCAATTTACACGGCCAACGAAGCAACGTATCCCATTCGCCAGCAACTAATGTTAAACAAGCAAGTAAATTCCTGCCCTTCCACTTTCCCAATCCATTCAGCAGCAAGTCCAACTGGAAATGTCGATTGAAATGATTAAATCAACTAATTATTTTCAAATGAATCACAAAACAGCATTAATCATCAATTGAAATAGAAATCAATGACTTGATAGAAAATAATCAGCGTACACGTAAACTATAACCGTATTGTGTATTGGAAAAAATCGGGCTTTTAAATATAATGTCATTTGCTTTGGCATCTTTTAGTTTTGCAGCAAAATGGTCAACGCGCCAAATTAGATGGCCTTCACTATTCGAAATAGTTTGCATTCGTTTCTCCGCTGCCAGATGAGTTTGTAAATCGGCCAATTCTTGTTTTGTTTTAGCGCACATTTTTTGTGCATCAATAACGGTTGCCCTTGATTTCTCACACTTCACTTCGGTTTCATACACGATATTTTTCATCTGTCGTAGCTCCACCAAAGACTCGCTCACTTTCCATTCCAGAAATGTGCATCGTCGACAGCGATCAGGCGTTGGTTTATTTCGCCCTAACGATCCATATTCATTGGATCGACCCGATTGATAGTATGAATCTAAGCCATTGTTTGACGTCGTGGATTCATTCGTTCGCTCTCGTTTGACCTTCAAATTGTCAATTTCCTTTTCGAGTGAGTTTAGCTTAACCGATGTTCGATCTTTTTCACTGAACAACAACTCGAAACTCAATGTGGCACCATTTCGAAATTCAAGATCTTGGGAAATTCGATCCAAAAGATCGCGCAGCTCTTTTCGCCATTGTTTGACCTCCTGAAAGTGGATATATTATTTCTGTGAACCGAATTTTCATTTCACACCTACTCAGGTTAATAAACAGGTTAAATCAATCAAATTAAATTATACGACATTAAAAAGGTAACAAAGATAAAACTGGTCTAAAAAGGTTCATTTGAGTTGACAATAATCATGGTTCAACAAACGGAAAATGAGGACGACAATATTTGTATTTACTTTGCACTGCTGTGAAATGTCTTCGAATTTCGTGTGAAGTGCATCGGTTTCGATGGCATGATTCTCGGACATTGCGGCAAATGCTTTTCTCAATGAGCCCACATCGGCGATCAAACGATGCCGCTGCCTGATTTCCTCATGCAAAGCCGAACGCAACAATGTGATATTCTGTTCCAATACAAAGAATTCATCGTCACGGTCTGTGATGCTGGCAATTGAATTGCCGTTCGGATTCTTTGGGCATTCCACTAAATGTTGTTCCAAAAACTTGCGCTGAATATAGGCCAAACAGTCGTTCGGGCACTTTTGTAACGCCTGACCGCACTCATCTAGGTGTGACTGCGGAAAAAAAAACAACAAATTCAATTTCATTTTATGCCTGAATATAGAACAAGAATTGTTTGAAATTTGATAAAGAAAAATCGTGTAAAAAAAGCAGTGCGACAAACTTGCGAATCGTAGTAAATAAATAAACGAAAATAGTTGCTTCACCTTAAAGTCGCTGTTATCAATGAATTCATTACAATAGTGGCATGAAACCACATTGTATTTAGTCTCTGTTCTTATCGATAACTGGCCGCCGTTATCCATGTCGGTAGCGAACCAATTTTTTTCGAATTGAGCAACACAACACCTATTTGCACTGCACGAAACGACACCAAACGATAAATGTATTAAACCAATTTTGTTGGAATCAATGGATGGCTCGAAAAAATGCTGTCATTCCCGTGGTTTTGTATAAATCACACTAAACATAAACTCCATTTTACATTCATTCCAACGAGGCAGAACACTGTTTCGCTCTTTATTTTGATAATGCCATTGAACGGTGACTAATTTCAATTCAAACACACATACATGCGCTGAGCTCTGATTAAACAACAATCGACACCGAAACTGGATGTATTCTGCGTAATAGCTTACGTCTTATTCAATCTGATTCACTCACTCTCAATTGAATGTTTAATGTGAAATGTGTCATTATCGCTACCGTCGCTGTTGCTGTTGTAAATACACAAATTCTTCTCGTTGCAATTGCACGTTTAACGTTCCGTCAAGGCTACTATTATATACGTATATGATTTGGAAATTGGTTGGTTTTTTTGCTTTCAACCGGATACTTGTGTTTAGCTTTATAAAAAAAAATTATAAATACAACCGCAAGAATGTTCTAAGATTCAATTGCAAATTACAGCTACTATAGTGTAGTGTCTGGAGCACTATTTTGTCGGGCACACTTTTGCGTATCGAATCACCTCCATCGAATTCTGTTATCCCATTGTGTACTAGCAACGCGGAGCTGATAAGATAACACCGATAAGAGGCTAGTGTGTGTGTGTGTGTGTGTGTGTGTGTGTTGATATCAACATTCTGTACACTCAACTAGCTTTCGGCTGTAATCAATAAAATCCATTTGTTGGTTTTAACACCTTTGGCTATACATTAGATCCGAGCGCTTCCGAATTGAAAATGATAAAAAACGCATTGATTTCAAGGTTTCAGCCATTTATTGTTCAATTTCACATTTTGGACATTGAACAAGGGATACATCAACACTCATTGATTTTTGTGCTTGTGTTTCACACCTTTGTTTCACAGCACCTTTGGTACTTAACATTTCGATAGTTTCATCTTACAAACATTCTTCTGTTTTTTTCTTTAAAGGTCATATAAAACTAGATGGAAAATCAAGAGATCTGGAGGGATTGATATATTGTTATCAGATATAATTTTATTTTTTTTTTTTTTTATTATTGTCTCGGTGTTATTTATCCGCAAGCACATTTCTTCATGTCTTTGGCGTGTTGAATTGTTATATTTTTCGCCTCACTGTTCGCATTAGCTGAACCATTTCCAATCGCCGACAGCTTACGAGATTTCCCATGGGCAGGCAGTTTTGCACGAAATACCGCATTTTCCAGCCTGAAATCAAAGCGTTTGTATGCGTCGATTAGTTCAAATATCATTTTACACCATTTTCGAAGTTTTTGAACTCAATGATTAGTTTTATGAAATGTTTCTAGAAAAAAATATTGAAAAAAAAAAATCGAAGATATTAAGTCAAAATTCAGTCTCTCACCGGCCCATAACCAAATCCAAAAGAATTTCGAACGCTTTTTTCACATTCTCTCCCGTCACTGCGCTTGTTTCAACGTATGGTAAATTGTATTTCTCGGCAAAATTTCGTGCTCGCACCTCAGTAATCACTCTTCGACGCTCCATATCCATTTTGTTGCCAACTAAAACTATATCTGGCGTATCGCAATATGCATGTACCTTTGAAGTTGTGTATGAGTATTTGAAAGAAAGAAGTTTCATTGAAGAGAATCTTTGAATGCTATTTTAGTGTGTGATAAAAGTACTTTAAGCTGTTCCATCCAATACATCACTTCCAAGAATGACTTCTCATTTGTCAAATCAAAAACTAACAAAAAGCCCACGGCATCACGATAGAAAGCGGTTGTCAGGCTTCGAAATCTACAAAGTGAGAATTTAATTATGAAAAGTTTACTTTTCATCATGGTCTGTAAGTTTTAACGTTGGAAAAATGGCGTTCGATCAAAACAATATATTTTGGCTGTAATATCGTAGTTTTCGCAAAGATTCCAAACTGAAAGGAATGTTCTGAGAAATTGATAACTTTTACTATAATAAAACATGGATCTTAATGCGTTAGTTGTTAAGAAGAATCAAAAATTCAAACGAGAAAATCGATAAACGAACACTTGGGCTATTTTCTAGATAGCGATGGTAGTTGATGAAACAAATGAAATACAAAAAAAAACAGTTTCGAATGGTGCCTTATCGTCGAGCATTATTATTTTAATTGAAATGCATGTTAAATGAGATGCTCATTTGAGATATTGAAAAACTACAAACCTTTCTTGACCACTTGTGTCCCAACACTGCAGATGAATCCTATAGTTACGGTTGTTCGATTTGTACAGCTGAAAGTGAGAACAAATAAAAATCGAATACAATCCAAATCGATTGATATGGAAATGGATAAATTTTGGTTTGCCTTTGAGGCTATTGTCGATCAAATTGACCTGAATTTACTTTTCCAACGGTTGAGCTTTTTACTCTACGTTAAGTAGTACTCACCATTCGTTTTTCTCGAAAATCGACCCCAACTGTTGAACTGAAGTTGGATCGGAACTGTCCATCCGTGTATTGATAGAGAAAACTCGTTTTGCCCACACTTGAGTTGCCAAGAATCAGAAATTTGAACAGATAGTCATATTCAACGGACATACTCATCTTGTGACTTCCTTTTCGAGTCACACTCGCCAAGTAAAACACCACAAGTGACAATACAATTGAAATTCCCGCCGAACGTTGCCTATGGAAAAGTGAACAGTTTTTGGTGAAATGGTATTGAAATATGATTTTGTTAAGGTTTCTCAATGCTGATGACATCAATAAACGTACAATGAAGGTTAAGTCAGAGAAGGAACGAGTGTGATGAGCGCTTCAAGAAATAGGTTATTAAAAATTACCAGGAATTCCCACTTGTTTGTCTCTTCAGTCAACTTTATTTTTGTAATTGTTTGCTTTGCACTGCTTCCGGGTGAATTCGGAAGAAATCTCAAACACGTTTGTGTGTTCTCCGGAGGGAAAAACGTATTTGCCACTCTCGTAATGTTCCTAATCGATCTCCTTTCGAGCGCAAAGTAAATGACGTTATCTACGGCTTGTGGAGCATAAAAAATTTAACCGTTACCTCGAGCAAAATTCCCCGAAACGGTATAGGAAATAATCGATGAACATTCTAGTCGAGAAGACGCAAGTTTAAAAAAAAATTCCGCGAATTTTGAACTTCAGTTGTTTTGCAACCTTTATCCGTTTAAAAATAGCGACGAAATGATTGATGTTCATGTACGTATCACATGGCCATCATCATCTGACGCTATTTCGCCTGATCCATTGGCGCTCCTTTGACCGAAAATAATTTTATCGATTTTATGAGCAAAAATAATTGAAGTCACTGCTTCTCTTAGTCACCCCAACATTGTACAGATTCCAATGGGATATTTGCATCCGTTGCTTACTTTCGCTTTTGTCACACGTTGAATAGCGCGGTCATTGGAAATATTTTCAATTAAATTTCATTGTTTCACATCGATCTGACGACACATTTTTGAATACATTGTTACTGTGGTGAATCGAACTCAAAGGTCGCGTCGATTCTTCAACATTTGAAATGAAGAAAAGAGACTTTTATTTGAATATAAATAGCATCAGTTATGATAATAATCTAATAAGGGCGCCAATTAATAATTGTAGGAGATTTTTTTTATTTTCCCTCTCTTTGCCTTTTTCTCTCGTATCGGAAACCTTGATTCAAAGAACCCCATTTTAATCTTAGTCTTTTCTATCTTGATTTTTCCTCCGTTTTGTTGAACAGTCATCCAAATCGCTATATCTCAGTCTTGAAACTCACTTAAATGTAAAAACGAACGAACTTGAAACTGTCGAATTTAAAAAAAAAATTGCGGTAACTTTTTTTTCTTAAAGTGCCAATCAAGTAAATGCATATTGAGCAACAAACAATAAGCATTTGGGTTTTCCGCATCTGTGGCATTTTCTTCGATAATATCCACAGTTTTAATAGAATTAAATCGATCGCACACAACAAGTTTCTCCACGAAGCGACTTCCACGCAGTCAGTCGCGAGTAATGAAAATATCAAATTTGTAAGATGAACAACGATAATAACAAGGTAGGGAGGGAATGCGATTGTTGTTGAGAGAAAAAAATGGATACGTGCTTAGAAAATTTCATGGAGGGTACGTGTTCAGAAAAAGGCAATCAAATCGATACACGAGTTTTTTTTTTATAAAATCCCGCATCGATCCATTTTCAAGGGATAAATTACCAATTTTAAATAAAATTATAAGTTTTAAACAAATACATGATCGGTTTTATAATCACCAGTTCTTAAGCACAGTGTCAGTTTCAGAGAAAACTTACTTTCGCAACTGGATAACAAAGAAACGATATTCGATAAAGTCGAACTAATAGCACCACCAAATCACAGCTAACAAGTGAAGTGTTCGAAAGTACCTGTTGCTGCTTCAACACTCGTTATCAAACTGAGGTGGATGGATATATGTCGCAGCTGAAATATTCCGAGTGGTTGTTATGGCAAAGTGTGTACGATTTTCCATGTCGCTTGCCGAGCGCGCTGCACGACTCAACATCGATGATAACAACATGTTTTTTTTCGCTCTCCAAATATAGGTATTAAGCACAAGGTATTCCAATTATAGCAAAATTTACTTAAACATCGCATGGCATATGATTTCCTGGAATAAATCGCAAGAGATTGAAACGCAACACCGTGAGTTCATCGATTCACACACACACAGTTTGCCAAAAAGTACGCATTTTTATTACAAATAAAACATAGCCATTTTCAGCCGATACAACATTTTATTAACAATTCTCTTTTGCTCCTAAAATTTAAACAACATAATATTTACATGGAAATAAAAGTGGAAATGTTTTCGTCGAATTTCGCGTAAAATGACCAACAACTACAACAACAGCCTGAATAGAGGGAATGGCACGAATGACACGCTGAAAATCCATCATCTTTGAAGCCATTTGAGGAATATGAATATGCAAATGGCCAATGCAATCGCTAAACTAAATGATAGATGATTCTCAATCGATGTTATCTCTTGTATGCACTTCCGTACCATTCGTCCGAAAACACCGTTTCCACCATCTGATCCACAACAATCGTGAATTTTATTGAACGATTCCATTACTTGTTCCTCTATCACAATATTCCAATTGTTGCTTTGGTGATATTTCAGCTGCTTTTGTGCTTGTGACTCGACAGCAAAAGTTTCACTTTCAATCAATTCAATTACGTTACACTAGATATTTCAGTCAACAGACTGTGGAAAAAAAAGAAATCGTAAACAATTTCCTCGTTAAACTGTCACTGATTTGTTTGTGCACATCGGATAGCTGTCACTCTCCCCCCCTCTCTCTCTCTCTCTCTCTCTCTCTCTCTCTCTCATTCAGCACACAACCGAATGAAGCGATTCAGTGTTGCCATCGTCATCAAACACAATAGGCTCTTCGGTTCTTTTTTTTCTTTTTTGACATTTCATGCGCATCGAAGCATTTGTTGTTGCTACCAAAGTTTTAGTATCATTGCTGCTTGCCGTGCGAGTATCCCGAATCATTTGTGCATTCCACCCGACTCTATTGACTGAAAGAAATTAAATTTGTGAGTAAAAATCGGACTGAATTTATCCCACTTTAGGTTTTAATTAAAATACCATTGGATACTATTTATTTTTATATTGAGTTATTTCATTTCGGTATTTCGTTTTTGTGGTTATATTCATAACCTTTCAGCATATTTACTTCGTACGAATGTTCTAGAACTGTGTGAATTAGATACACGCCGAATAAGAAGAAAATATCTGTTGACTTATATTCCCTTTATTCACCGCAAAATGAATGAACTTGCAAAAAATTTCAATTTACATTGATTCAATGCCTTTGAGCTTATATTCGGAATAATTACACACAAAAAAGAACATTGACATCATTGACCCGAACACTTCCTTTCCAATAATCAACTGAATTTTAAGTAGTTCGAAATGGAATCATTTCTAGAAGGTTCACCTATTTATATCGTGATACTTTAATTTCTTTGGATTTCATCACTTTTTTCTTATCCACCAAGGCAAATTTACATTTATGTTCGCCAAATTGTGGTTTTCCGTTCAGGGAACAATTTCCGATTTTTGTGGTTTTTCTTTATTTTTCTATAAAATATCTCGATTTAAATCGTAGAGTGACACTCTTAACCTAACGTTCAGTGACCCAATATGTAACAAACATCAGTCGAAGTATTTGATTTGATTCATTTGTTGATTGAGTTTTTATTTCATTTGTCATTTTCAGACTTGCCATAAATAATTTCAATATCGTAAAAATGGTTGAAGAAACGAATGTTATTGAAGAGAATCAAATCGATTTGTCTGGTGATGGAGGAGTTTTGAAGAAAATCTTGCAAGAGAGCACCTCCGATGAACAGCCATCATCTGGATGCAAAGTTTCACTTCACTACACCGGCACACTACTCGATGGCACCAAATTCGATTCCAGCCTCGATCGCAATGAACCATTCGAATTTGAATTGGGCAAAGGTATGGTTTGCTATATCTATCAAAGCATCGTGTTTGAATGACACAATTCCATATGATTCTAATTGTTTAGGTGTTGTGGTGAAGGGTTTTGACATGGGTGTTTCCTCGATGAAAAAAGGCGAAAAGGCCGTGTTCACCTTCAAATCCGAATATGCGTACGGAGCTTCTGGCAGTCCGCCAAATATTCCACCAAACGCTACTTTGATCTTTGAGGTGAGTCGACAATGTAAAATGATTGAAAACAAAAATAAAACTAATTTTCATTCGCTTCGTTAGATTGAGTTGTTGGACTGGAAACCAGAAGATCTTAGCCCACGTTCAAACGGTGGCATTTTGAGACACGTCATTAAAAAGCCTATCACACGGAAAACACCAAACGATGGTGCATCGGTCACTGGTAAATATCAACTGAATTACTTATTCCAATTGGAATCAAGTTGCTTATGGGTTTTTTTTTTCTCTGCAATTTAGTCAATCTGATCGGTTCGTATGAGGGTCGTGTGTTTGATGAACGTAATTTGACATTCTCCATCGGCGAAGTGCCCGATGATGAGGTTATTTCGGGTGTTCAGAAAGCACTCACACACTTTGGTAAAAATGAAACATCAAGGTAGGTGTTGGAAATAATATACAATAGTTGAACGAATTGATTCGAAAATTGAACACTTGATTTACGGAAAAAAATTACATAACTCAAGTCCCATGGACGAAAGTTATAAGTTTTTTTTTCGAAAAGTTACGTCAAAAATAGAATCAACATTGTAATGAACAGTATTGAATAGACATTATATAAATGGTATGTGTCTGTTTGTTTTTTTTTTCAATAGACTCATCATCAAGCCAGAGTATGCATTTGGTGAAAAAGGCCATGAAGCGTTTGGAATTCCACCAAACGCCACTGTTGAATATACAGTCACATTGACCGAATTCGAGCGCGAACCAGAGTCATGGAAATTGAACGCTGAAGAGAGTTTGGCTCAAGCAAAATTGGTGAAAGACAAAGCAACCGGTTTCTTAAAACAAGAGAAATACGAATTAGCCATCAAATTGTACGAAAAGGCCAATAGCTACTTATCGAATTGCATATGTGAGTTTCAGTTTTGGCAGTGTTTTTAAACACAAAAGAAGTACTTGCGACTAAAAGAAATTGAAATTGTTCAAATTAATTCATAATTAATAAATAATTTTCTCTGAATACAGCATCGAAGGGTGGAGACGAAGAGCCACAGAAAGTGAAAGCGGCCGTTTTCTCAAACATTGCTTTGTGTCATTTAAAACTCAAAAACTACTACGAAGTCAAAAAGGCAGTAAGTAATCTCTCAATCGAGACAATTTATACATGTTCGAATCATAAATATGGCATCAAACCTATGTTTGTTATTGCAGTGCGAAACCGTTTTGGAAATCGATTCGAATAACGTTAAAGCCTATTTCCGTCGAGGTACAGCGGTGTTCGAAACTGGAGATGCTGCGGGTGCTTTGGAAGATTTCTCAAAGGTACAAACTCTGAACTTATTCATTTTTTGATTCTCAATCTAGTTTCTACTCAGATTGATCATATCAAAGCAAATGTCTTAAGTCGACTACCGAATGGTGCTGAATAAATACTGATTTCTCCAACAGGTCCAACAACTAGAGCCCGAGAACAAAGCGGCCCTCAACCAAATCACACTGTGCAAACAGGAAATCAAGCGTCAAACTGACAAAGAGAAGCGGCTGTATGCCAATATGTTTGCAAAATTCGCCGATGCCGATACAAAGGTGGGTTAATTTCTTAGTGATTTCAACACGTGGAAATAATGTGTTCATTTATTTCCAAATTCAAAAATCAGTAAAAACAAACCAATCTTCCCCTACATACAAAACACCAATACACCTTTAAACCTAAATGCTGCTGAATCAACTCTATGGAATGTCATAATCAATTGCTTACCCTTGTTAAATTGTTTTGCGATGTGGATTATTTTTTGGAAAAAAAAAACACAATATTGTAGAAGGAGGAGATGAACAGAGAAGAATACAATTTCGACTCGTGCGGTGAATGGAATAACGATTTTGTCGCGTTAAATGGTGGTGGTCTGAATGAAGCAGATGCTCGCAATCAAGCCAACCAAGTGCTGGATGATGTCAATCGCAATGTAGTCATGATCTAGGGGAAAATCAGATGCATTTATCATCACCACCATCATCACATAAATACGATATTCATTCCATAGAAGAAGAAAAAACGCTTTTACTCAACTCATTCGACATTTTCAGTAGTCACACCAATTTAGAGACTTATTCACATCTTTTTCCAAATACAATCGATATCAATAAAAATAAAATACTAAATTCGAAAAGAAATTGTGTGGTTTTTTTGTTTTTCATTTTAAAAACGTTTATTTTCATGGTATAATTGCCGCTTATGGAAATGTTCATAAATTCATTATTCTCTCATAAGTCTGTCGATTCGCCGCCAACTTCACATCGATTGTGCACTGTTGTATTTACAAACATTTGGATGTGAATGCCGTATCTCTCCAGCTGCGCGACGAAGAAAGAACGATCCGATACAGAAATAAACATTTGCCGTCGTGTCGCCTCGCACACACATATACGCCACAATATGCGTTAGGCTTTGATGTGAGGCAAGAAAACATACAAGAAAAGTCACAGACAAAGGCTCGAAAGAAGTAGACGTGTTACAAGCATACACTCATATAGTTATTTTTTCATTTTATTCACTCTCAATAACGCAAACTTGTTTTCACTTTTTTCACCATTTAAATTCATTGATTTGCACGCGGAAAATTGCATTTAACGTGGAAAATTATTTAAAATGGCAGATAACGATGTACAATTAGTTGCTGGTCGTCAACCTGCAGGTAAGCAAAACTACGACTCAAATAACACACCACCACAAAGCGTGTCACAATCGCATGAAACAAAAATCTAATAAGAAAACAAAACATCGATTTTTGTTGTTTTCCGTGTTTGTTCTCTTTTTTTCCTCTTCATCGCTAGTCGACTGACGGTCTATTTTTTATAATCAATTTCATGGAAGATTTTTATGAATTTTACAACACATTATCATTTGCTAGGCGTTTTTGTTGTTGTTGTTGTTGTTTTTTTCTGTGCAATTTTTGGTGGCATTCAGAAAACATTTAGGAATGTTTCGCTGAAAGCAACAAATCGCCAATTGCTGCTTTACTGCAACTTGCTGATTGTTGTGATATTCAGAATAATCACATTTACATGCGAAACAAGACTGTGCTGTACGTGATATTTTAAAACGTAATTTCGAGTTGGTTTGATGATACAGCAACCAAAATACACGTAATATCAGAATATCAACCAACACGCACGTACACCATGCCAGCTTGTCTTTGTTTGTTGACACTGTCCCACACACACAAACATGAACCATGTTTTGAGCAGTTTCTTTCTTCCGATTCGCTTTTGAGTTTTTTTTCCGTTCACTTTTCAAACCATCAACTGAATTGTATCCGAAATTTTTTTTCAACAATTCACATTTTTAGATGATATTTCAGTCTGAAATTCGCTCGATTTCAATTATCTGATCATGGCATTTTATCGTTACCGTTTTACGGAAAAAACTCACATAACCGGCTCTAGCCGATTAATGTTATTTTTATTTTTTTCCGCTTGACTTTTTCACGAATTTGCCGTTTTCGTTAAGTGGAGCGATGATTTTTGGATATCATTTTTTATGTTCAAGTGTTCCAGAACCATGTCACGCATTATCTATTTTTTTTTAGTCTATCGCTTCTAATTGTGAAAGCAACGAGCGTATTCGATCAGACACCGATACACAGTTGACATTTATTTCATTTGCTAGAGTTGGGTTTTGTTCTGTTTTTCGTTGTATTTTGCCAAATTTTTTTTTCGACGCATTATTGACAGATTTGTTCAAGGTTTTTTTTTTTATTTATTCGTTCTTTTCATTTTGTTTTGTTTTTGTTTTCTTTATGACTTCATCATATGTTTGAACAGACGATGACGAACCACAGCTGGTTGCTGGTCGCAAACCTGCAGGTAGCATTTTTGTTTTTTTTTCTATTCTTTATTTCTAGCTAACCGATAGACATCTTTTGAAAATAATTTGATTCAAATTTAAACGGAAAGAACCATGAATTGTTTTTTTTTTTTTTTAATTTTTGTTGTCTTGGAAATTTTGATTGATTTGTATAGAACTATTAACATATAAATTAGCCTAAAAAGTGAATTAACCTCAAAAGGCCCATCTCAGTAATATGTCTACGCCACATTCAATATTTTATTGTGTTGCTTTACAGTCAAAGTCGGTGGAATGCGAGTCGTTCAGCATAAGCCACCAACGCACAAGGAAAATGCATCGGCCGATTTGGAGGATTGCACCGGATTGACGGTAATTTTTGCGCTTTGATAAAATCAAAGAAGGAAAAGAAGTGAATCAGTTATTTTGAACTAAACAATTCTTGTTCCAAATTGAATGAAGATTCTCCATTGGAGAGAATGATAACTAGAAAAAAAATTTGTCATTTGAAAAATCATCTTTTCAACTCAAAATCAACTCTTTGTCTCTTCTAGCAACCGCCAAATATCAACACGGAATTGGTGAGCGGTGCTCCAGTGAAAGGAAATGCTGATTTCACCGTGCAGGCATCGCAAGTGGCACACGCACCAAAGGTGCCGCATAACATTGCATCCAACAAAAGTCAAGTCCATCACATCAATCAGCCACGCAAATAGATCAACAAATTCGACACACTGCCTCCTCAACATACACTAACGGTTTTCCTCATCCTCACTATGAAACGCTAATCAAATGGTTATTAACAATGAAACAAACATATTTGAGTGTTTGTTACGATACTTTCATTAAAAATGATTTATATCAAAATGGATACTTGTAGATATGGGTATTTGGTCAATGTTTAGTCGATCATCATCTCGATACACGAATGTGATTTTTGATTTCCTCTTTGTCCTTTCTCGTGCAACAACACAAAGCCAATGAAATATATTCGTACTTTAAATTGAATTGTTTGCAATAAATGTGTTTATTGTGTACAAGAAAAAGAAAAAAAAATTTCATGGATTTTTATTTCGTAGCAAATGATTTAAACTTTAAAAAACAAATGTCATTTCTGTGGATAAAAATACTTAATACTAAATGGAAAAAATATTGCTTGTATTCAAAGAAAGGAGCTAATTAAGTCTAGATTAGAAGAAATGATTTGAGTTGAGATTCAATTAGCTGGAATCAAAGACTGGGATAAACGGCATTTGATGCTATTCCACAATTGTTGTTGCGGAATCGAGCCATTCGAATGTAACCGTCTTCTCCCCAAGATTTTCCAAATGAATTTTTCACGATGTAATAACCGAGTCGATTTTCGGTCCCATAACCGACGGCCAATCCAAAGTGGTTGCCATTTTTGCTGCAGTCAAAATCATAATAAATTCCCGACGAATAAAATTGGAATGATTCGAGTGATGCGTCAAACGACACAGAAATCGGGCCGACTGAAGCAATTGCGGTTTGTAGTAGCCATTCCCTTCCAGGCGCAAGATGGTTCACCGAGTTTATTGAAACATTTGCTTGAACAACATCCAGTTGACAGTTTCCAGCTGAACCTTGATATGGATACGATGCCTCGGTATCGATTGCATGATTATCCAAAACGAATTGTAACGATGTCGCTACACTACCACCAGTGCATCCCGAGTTATTGTACTTGCCACCCGTGCAATCGATTAGGTTTTGTTCAGAGAATTTGATTAAATTTCCCGTTTTCCGTTGGTATTGCGATTCTAAAACTGCAGTCGTACTGAACGCGTACGACGACTGACAAGCACCTTGGGTTTGAACTTCGGTCACCGTACCATTTTGACGCCAATCAACGAACGGCGGCAAACTTACTGCATCCAACTTTTCAACAACATTTCCGATGACACTTCTGAAACCATAGAAAATTGACATATTTTACGTTCATTGACCAAATTCAAACAGCAGTCACAAAATATTGACGACTACGTTTCATTGGAGAAAAATGTAAGCAAAAAAAAAAACACCTTTTGTCGTATGTGATGACATCGCCAATGTACTTATTCAAGAATTCCTTGTGTGTCAAGTCAGCAAATTGATTTGACTTCAATTTGTATGTGACAGTGCCCAAGCTATGCAGTAGATTATGCTTGAAAATCTTTTTCTGATTGTCGACAAACGTTAGAAAGCGCTGTGTCTCCTCCTCTGAATGCTCATATTGTTTATTGAACGTTTTCTGTAAGCATACAAAACTGTCAACATTGTGTGAGATAAAGAGTGCATCTCTTTGTTTTTCTTTTACCTTGAATTTGAGCCAATTCTCTTTGTAGTTACTATAATCCGCAAAAATACAGCTGGTGAGAAAAAAGAAGCACAAAACAATGCGAATAGCCCGCATAACTGTTTGAAAATTAAATAAAATCGATTGAAGTGAGCTTTTATGACGACTGATATGTAAACCTAGTGGCTTTGACGTATCGATTACAACTGACACAACTGACATACGTCGACTAATCAGTGCGGTAAGACAAAACATGTGTGCTTGGAAACATCCAAATCAGCTTCATGATTGTGTAATGCGGCGTGATGGAATTGACGCACTTCAATTGGATGCATCAGCTCAATTAAACCAATTAAACGGTTTTTCTGACCGCTTGAATCGTTTTCAATTTCTTTTTATACATTTTTGCAGTTGCTTTTTCTTTCAAATTTGATGAGATCATCAATTTTTGTGTGTTACGTTAAATTACTTGAGATATTTTTTTTAAATAATGACAGATGGAAAGAATCATACAATTAACTCTGTTTGCAATTGGAAGAAAGAATAGAGAGCAATGAAAATATGTTTAAAGTTATTAAAGTTGACTTTATTGACATTTTTTCATTTGACATCTTATAATGCAATCAGATCTATTGTTTGCTATGAGTATGTTTAGTTAAATTTGAAAGTTAAACATGTTAACTACATTTTCCGAAAGAATCTTTTTCAAACCAGTGGATAGGAAGCATCTGTGGCAATACCACAGTTATTGTGACGATTGCGAGCCATTTTAATGTAACCACCATCTCCCCACGATTTGTCCCACGAATTCTTGACAATATAATACTCATGACCATGATCATCTACTCCATAGCCCACTACCAGAACGGCATGGTTTAAAGCACGCGGACTGCACTTCGGTTCATAGTAAATGCCACTTCGATAATGTTGAAATGAAAAGTGTGAAGCATCAATTGCGACGGCAATTGGTCCAATGGAAGCAATCGCATCTTGCAATTTCTTCTCATTGCCCGGTGCAATATTCACATAACCACGATCGGTTGCACCCGAGTTTTTCCGATTATATCGACATTTATCATTTCGGCCTTTGTATGGATACGATTTTTCGGTATCAATTCCATGATTTTGTTTAATATATTCAAAGGATTGTTCAATATTGCCACCGTTGCAGCCATTGTTTCCGTATGAAGCCGAACAGTCGATAAGGTTTTGCTCCGATAATGACACTAAAACACCCGTTTTACGGAAGTGTTGACCTTCCAATGCGCCAATGGCCGAAAATGACCAGCATGAACCACAACGTCCTTGGTTTTTCACTCCGGTCACAGCTCCTTTCTTTCTCCAGTCAATCGATCTTGGCAATTCGTAATGATGGATTTTGTTGTGGTATTTACCAGTTGCATTTTTGAATTTGAGTGACCTTGAGAAGGAGATTTGTTATTATTTGTTAGATTATTTGCAATTACTCAATATGAGTTGACTTCTTTTCCAATTTAAAATAAAACCAAAAGTGTATATTTGCTTACTTAAAGCTATCAGTCGGTTTGTGTCCATTCATTATGGCTGCGAACTCTTCGGTTGTCATATCGCTGTATTCATTCAAGCCCATTTTGAACAAAACATGACCTTCATTGAACAATTTGTTGTGCTCAGCGATTTTGTTTCGGTTTTGTAGAAAAGTTGTCATACGAAATTGGTGTTCTTCATCTGCAGCGTAACTCTTTGAATATTGTACCTATTTGAAAGAAAAATTGTTGTTTGTTAGTAATTAAATTTCTCGATATGTTTTCAATTCAATTTTTTAACCTTAAAATGTTCCCAATCATTTTCCTCTATAATTGTTACTGCGTTTGCTACGGTCAGTCCAAAAAATAGAACCAGAGTTTTGTGCATCGTTTAAATTCAGTCTTTTTTTTTCTTATTAAATCACTACAAGAATCACCGTTATCAATGACAAAAAAAAATGGGTTTTGCTTATTCGGCCGGTGACCCAATACTGAACGTTTGAAAGCGACTGTCAATGCGATTTATATACAATTTGACTGGACAATAAAAATCCCCTGTTTAAAATCAAAGTTAAAGCCACATTTTGAGATAATGTCTACGAAAATCACAATGCTAATTAATTTCGTTTTGGGGGATTTTATCTCTGACTCACAACAACAACACAGACATGATCAAACAATTTGTGTTTTTATTTTCTCAAATGCGATATGCACTTGTTTGGTGCGCATGATTTTCAGTGATTCAATTTTTTTCGCCCCAACATCTGTGGTATTATCTCAAAATTTCCAATTAAATGGCAAAAACACTATTCGAGTTCAATGTGCTAATTTGAGGAATGATTTCATTTAATTGATAATTTTTATTCGAAGCGTTATGCATGGAAAGGAAAACAAATATGAACTTGACTTAATCAAACGTGACTTCGTCCCAGAAGTATTTTACTACATTTAATCCGTTAGATCGCGTGTCTTAATGAGTAAAAAAATCAATCAATTGAGCTGATCAATTAGAATGTGTGACGACGCCATAATCCGATTGTGAGTTAATTCCATTCATTTAGCCTTGCTTGAACCACTCAAGTCCCTAGATTGTTTAACGAAATAGTAATCTTCACCAAGTTTATCAGTTCGAAATTTTCGCCATGTTTAAGAACCGCGCGATCCAGATAGGCAACGTTCGAACGACATTACGGCTAAATGATTGTTCATTGTGTACGGCGGTATTGATGCAATTCAATTCATCAGTTCGAAATAATAAAGAATGGATGGATTTCTACAGTTTACACTTGTTGTTTTTAGAATTTAGTGAGTCTATCGATTAGCAAAGAAACGTTATGTTGAAAGAAAATACTAAACCAAGTTTGCAAAAGGAAGAAATGAAATAGACCAGCGGCAAATTCTTGAAAATGTGAATTAATGTTGATTTTATTGACGTAGTTATTTCGGTCATCCATTTCATAATGATTTCAGATCTATGTGGCTATTTTGTGAATATTTTCCATGGAGAAAAACACTAAGTTCTTCTTATTTTCATCTATATATCTCACTGTTAATTTAGTTTTACCAATACTTTGCTATTATTGCTATTTTTCTTTATTTCGCCATGATTCATATAAAATATACGAGAATATTGAAGAATAATAATAATATTATTTTTTTAATATATAATTCGCTCTGTACATTCTTATGGCAGCATAAGCCTGCGTATAATACACTGGCCAATGCAGTGTGTCAATGGTGATCGTTATTTTGCCGCCAATAGATGTTGTGTCTATCCCTATGATAGTCTCGAATGAGATTTACTTGATGACACATCTTTTGCTTTGACGATAGGATACGAGGCATCTTGAGCAATTCCGCAGTGGTCGTTACAGTCACGAGCCATTCTAATGAAACCTTTCTCTCCCCAGTCCGTGCCCCACGAATTTTTGACAATATAATATTTGTTGCCATCAGAATCTTTGCCATAGCCTACAGCAAGTACCGCATGATTCAAAGATTCTAAATCTGAAGTACAGTTTTTGTCATAGTAAAGGCCTTTTCTATAATGCTGCATTAAATCGGTCGCATAGATTCCAACAGCGATTGGGCCAATTTTGGTGATTGCTTCTGTCAAATCCTGTTCACTGCCTTGCTTAATATTCACGTAACCACTAACTGTGGCAGCCGAGTTTTTGGGGTTGTATCGGCATTGTCTTTTCGGTGAATCTGCGATGTCGTATTCACTTTCAAATGGATACGATTTTTCATCGTCAATGCCGCCATTATCGTGGACGTATTGAAAGGCACTAGTCATTAATCCGCCAGCACATCCAGTGTTATTATATTCATAACTGCAATCGACGAGATTCTGCTCCGACAATGACACTAATTTGTTGCGCTTTATTTTATTTTGGCCCTCAATGGCTCCAGTAGCAGAAAAGGCCCTGCGAATTGGAAAAATTAACCAATAAATATGGAATTATTCAACTTGTTGTTAACTGCAACACCAACCAACATGCACCACATATTCCTTGAAATTTCACTTCAGTTACAGCTCGTTTTTTTCTCCAGTCAACGCTTTCTTCAGCTTGGAAATGGTAGGATCCTTCAAAATAGTTACGGTTCGCATTTTCCAAGCTGTAATTGGAAAATTATTTGGTTTGAAAAAAAAACGCAACTATTCCGTTGGAAGTTACAAAATAATGGACTCTCTTGAAATGTTTAAATCAGAGCTCTCATTTTGTATATTGCTATATCTGGAACTATTAGTAGCTGCTGTTTATAGTCAATAGCGGTGTATATTTTGAAATAGCAGCTACCGAACACTTTGTTTGGAATTATTTCGAACGTTCCATTGGATTTTTAGAAGTGGAAAGATAACGATCAATTCAAAAATGTATAATTTAACGTTATCGATCCACTTCCAAAAATCCAATGGAACGTTCAGAATAATTCCGAACAAAGTGTTCGGTAGCTGCTATTTCAAAATATACACAGCTATTGACTATAAACAGCAGCTACTAATAGTTCCAGATATAGCAATATACAAAATGAGAGCTCTGGTTTAAATAGAGCCGAAAAAATGTTTTCTCACATAATGTTTGCCGCCGATTTATATCCAAGATAAATGCCTGAGAACTCTTCGAATGTCATATCACTGAATCCATTCAAACCCATTTCGTATGTGACAAGGCCTTCATCAAATCGTTTGTTGTGCTCAGCGATCTTCTTCCTGTGTTGTAGAAAAATGTTCATACGAAGATCGTGCTCTTCATCGTTGGCATAGCTCTTTGAGTGTTTTACCTAGATAGAAAGCATCGATGCAAGTATACAACAAATTAATGTTTTTGATTTTTTTTTTCCAAACGAAAAGTGAATTTATTCCTTTAAAATTTATTTGATGCATTTTATTCCTGTTCCAACCTTATATTGCTCCCAATCATTTTTCTCTGCAATCAAAACTGCATTCGTAATGGTAATGAGACCAAAAATTGGAGCCAATTTCTTATACATGGTTCAAACTATGTCTTTCTCAGTAAACTTAACTATAGAAGTTGGTGCAATTGATAAAGCTACTTTGTGGTCTGTTTATTCGGCCGGTGAGCCAAAACTGAATGCTTCAAAGTGTTTGTCATTGCGGTTTTATACAATCCGTCTCCCTCTTTTTCAATTATTTAATTGTATTTCTTATATTTATATTTAAAGATAAGGCCTAAGTGGGTGGAAAAAACAGGCGCAAAACAATCATCCACGTGATATACATGTAACTGTTTTCACTATTTTAGTGCCCCAATTTGATTCACTTTTTTCTTGGAAAAACCTCTGAAATAATCTCTCAACATATGCAAATAAAGGGAGTCCCAATAGCAACGCAAAAAAGTATTTATAAAAAAAACAATGAAAATAGTTTCCAATTTTCCAAATCTTTATTGTATGTTGTAGTTTGGTCTTTACCATTTATGTATGAAAAAGAATATCGTGCAAATGTCCACCACGGCTCTTTTCACAGACCTTCGGCCGCTTGCCCAAATTTTCAATTACAGATTCGAGTAATGGCACATTTACGGTGGCTATGACACGTCTGATTTCAATTTTCAGCTCGGCAATGGTGCTTGGTTTGTTCGCATAGACTTTATCCTTGACGTAGCCCCAAAGAAAATAGTCCAATGGCGTTAAATCGCACGAACGAGGCGGCCATTCCACTTCGGCCTTTTGAGAAATGATGCGATTTGGAAAACGTTCTTCGATTACCGCTAATGTTTCAGGTGTTGTGTGTGGTCTGGCGCCGTCTTGTTGAAACCACATGTCGGATAAGTCCATGCCTTCAATTTCCGACCAAAAAAAATACTGCAACATCTCACGATATCGCTCGCCATTGATGGAAACGGCTCGACCATCATCATTTTCGAAGAAATACGGCCCGATGATGCCGCCGGCCCATAAACCGCACCAAACAGTGCAACGAGCTGGATGAGCTGACACTTCTTCAGTTTCTCTTGGATTTTCGCTTCCCCAGAATCGACAATTTTGGCGATTCACATATCCATTCAAGTGAAAATGAGCCTCATCCGAAAAGATCACTTTCTTCAAAAAATCGGCATCCGCGGCCTCTTTTCCTTTGACCCATTCGACGAAATCTCTTCGTTTTCCATGGTCCATCGGTTCAAGTTCTTGAGTGAGGACAATCTTATAAGCGTGTAGACCCAAGCCTTTGGTGAGAATACGCCATGTGGTCATCCTAGAGAGGCCAACTTGTTGAGAACGTCGACGAACCGAGGTTCTTGGCTCGTCCTCCACACTTTCACTCACAGTAGCAATATTTTCGTGCGAGCGGGCCGTTCGCATACGGGTTGATGGTTGATCGTCTAACACAGAGCCAGTACGCTCAAATTTCTGCACCAGGCGACTGATGGTGGACACATTTGGTCGATTATTTCGGCCGAAAAATTCACGAATTGCACGAAACGTATTTTGCAAAATAGACCCATTTTCGTAATGGGATTTAACGACTTGAACGCGTTGATCTTTACTTAATCTTGACATGGTTATAAATGGTATAGATGGACGCTTCAAACTGACATTCCAGTTTGACAGATCGGGGCATCCATCATGAAATCCCTATTGAAAAACTTTTTGCGTCCCTTTTGGGACACCCTTTATGATATAAAAAACACTGAACAAATTCCATAAATTCCTTTTTTCTGACTCACAACAATAATAATCCACAAGAAAAGATTGCTCGAAGGAAATCCTTTTAGAATTTCTTAATTTATCAAAAATGTTGATATCATATCATTGAAAAATAATTTTTACATAGTAATTCGAAGTCTTAGCTCACCAAGATTCTATTCAAATCCCTTCCAAGCTCCGATATTGAGCGAACATTGTTGAAATGCTCAAAAATAAATTTATTATTATTTCGACGTCGCATTTAAAGATTATATTATTTTAAAGTCTGAAAGGATTAAATCGGCATTTTTTCTATGACCCACAACAACTATTTATATGATTGAAATATTTCGAATATTTTTTTTGCATTCTTTCACTTTGATTAATTTGATTGTGGAAAGAAACCCAAAGACGATAAAAAACACTACGAAGATTCGATTTGCCGAACAACTTAATTAAATTGCTATTTTCTGGCATCGGGGAGAGAACACAACATAATTGAATTTAATTATAAATCAATGTTTACTTCTGGTGAAAGAGAACACAATGCACATACAAGAAATGAGAAATGACTTATCAATCTATTTTCTCCGAATCGTCTGAGGCTCGCAGCGCTTAATGAATTTTGCTGAAAACTAATGAATCACTAAAGCACATATCGTATTTGAAAAAATAAAAATATCCTTTTCGATTATGTCTGAATTAGGGTTGTGAGTCAGAAAAAATCTCAACCATGCATACTACGAATCGCATTTTTAGACGTAATCTTAAACTCTTAAACTGGTAGAAATGGAGAAGGAGGGATTTATGTTGTACATTCAAATTGTATATAAATTGCAGCAAAAATTACTTACATACGTTTAATACTGGGCCACCGGCCGAATAAGCAAAACACAAAATCGTATTTGTTGATATCGATAAATCTTCTTGGGATTTAGTAAAAAGGACTGAATTCTCGTTCATCGTTTGAATTAAGTCTTTCTTGCTAAATCACAATGGGAATCACCACTATCAATAAAAACGACTTTGTGCTTTGTTTATTCTGCTGTGCTTTTTTTCAAACAAGAATTTGGGAAATTGTTCGGTGGCCCAATATTAAACGTATGTAAGCGATTGTCGCTGCAATTTATATTCAAATTGAATGAAAAAAAAAAAGAAAAATTCTTTAAAAAGAATAACAATCACAATGCCAAACTGTTGTCCATGCATCTTGGATGGAAATATAATTTAAAATTATTATCTGTATAATATGATTGATTTCATTTGCTTTTTTTTTAAATTCAGAGCATTTTTCATTGGTAATGAAGGTGGAGAAATTGTTCTACGAATCGACTTGAATTTTCTTTTAAATTAGCTATTTATTCAGAGAATATGAACCTCATAAGAAAAATGATAAAAAGAATGCATTTGAAATGAAGTTTTCAAACAAAAATATATGCATATGTCAATTTTGACTATTTTTCACCACAGCAAGACCTATTAAATTGCTAAAAAAAATAGTCGGAAAATCCATTACAGACTGTATTTTTGGCTTTAGAAAAGCTTCTGGAAAGTCACTCAAGAAAATTAGGAAATATATCATTTTCGAAAAAAATTTGAAGAATTTTCAAATTGAGACCAAAATCATGAGAAAGTGTGGGTACCATTGTTCCCTTAACGTGTACGGAAAAGTAATAAGAATGCCTTTTTTTTAGAACCAAACATTAATATATAAATTGCAATGCTGGTCAATTGTTTATTTTGTTTTTTTTTTTAAATCACGGCAATAATTCAAACATATTCACTTCTTGAATGTTGCTGAACGAAAAAAGTATTCTTTAGTGATCGCCAGAATTATTTATCTTGAATTAACGATGCAAACTGCACGTGTTTATGTGCAGAACACTTGTGTTCCTTAGTACGATAATTGATAATAATGAGCTAACAGTTTGACGAAATAAAACAGGCCAGTTTTTTTTTTGAAAATTGAAATTAATGTTGACTTTATTGATGTCCTCATTGTCCTTCCTGTCTCCATTAGTAGATAATGTTTTCGAATCTATGTAGTCATTACATTTTTGTAAATACATTCAAACGAGTATTATGAATAAAAGGGGCAAATCACTCGAGTGATCTTTTTGCAATTACTTATCAAAAGTTGCAATTACTCCATTTTTCAACAAATACTGGTAGGTTGCAATTACTTGTATATGGAAAGTAATTGTAAATTTTGAGGTAATTGCTGAAAAAAAGAGTAATTGCAAAAAGAGTGATTTGCCCCTCGCATTCAAATGAACTGTTGATTTTTATTTCTTCGAAAATTACTTTCCGTTGACGACAGGATAGACAGCCTCTGTGGCTATTCCGCAGTGATTTTTGCTGTCGCGAGCCATTCTAATGAATCCTTTCTCTCCCCATTTTTGTCCGTAAGTATTTTTGACAAGATAATATTTCTTGCCATTTTCTTCCCCATAGCCTACAACCAAAACTACATGATCCAACGAGTCTGCATCTGAAGGGCAGCCGGGCTCAATGTAATAGCCACCGGTATAATGTGTAAATATATCAGTTGCATGGATTGCAACGGCAATTGGGCCAATGGTTTTAATTGCTTCCTGCAATTTCCTTTCATCGCCTGACTTAATATCCACGTAACTACTAACAGTAGCAGCAAAATTCGCAGGGTTTTTTTTGCATTCTCTGCGTGGACAATAATCATCGTCATATTTACTTACGTATGGATACGATGCCTCAGTAGGAATACCGCCTACACCATGAACGTACTGAAATGCACCGTCTGCATTTCCGCCGTTACATCCATCGTTATCATGGGCCTGATCACGATCGCAATCGACGAGGAATTGCGCCGACAATGAAACCAATTTGCCAGTCTTTAAGTATAGTTGAGACTCAATAGCACCTACACTAGCAAAAGCCCAGCAAGAACCACATTTTCCCTGGTTTTTTACTTCAGTTACAGCTATCTTCGGTGGTTTTGTCCAGTCAACGTTATCATTTGCTTGGAAGTCAGGAGATCCTTTAAAATAGTTACGGGTTGCATTTTTGTTCAATCTGAAATTGGAGAATTATTTCGTATGAAAAAATATGTAAGATGATCCATCATTGTGAGTTATAAAATAATTGACTCTTTTGAAATACAGTCGAATTCATATTTACTTACAGAAATTTTGGCGCTCGTCTACATTTATGCATCTTGGCTTTAAATTCCTCGAATGTCATGTCGCTAAATTCATTCAAACCCATTGTGAATGTGACAAGGCCGTCATCGAATAGTTTGTTGTGCTCAGCGATCTTTTTTCTGCGTTGTAGAAAGATTTTCATACGAAGATCGTGCTCTTCATCGTTGGCATAGCTCTTTGAGTGTTCCACCTGGATAGAGTATATCGGTGCAAGTATACGAAAAAATTAAATAAAAAATGATTCCGATCAATGAGCTTATTCATTTTCTATACCTTATATTGCTCCCAATCATTTTTCTCTTCGATCGAAACTGCATTCGCAATGGTAAGGAGGCCAAGAAATAGAGCCAAGCAGTACATGGTTCAAATTATGTCTTTCTTAGTCAACCACTATAGAAGTTGGTGCAACTAACAAAACTGGCTTTGTGCTTTGTTTATTCGGCTGCTAAGCCAAAACTGGATGTTTTGAAATGATTTTCATTGCGATTTTATACAATTAAATTGGATAATGAAAATCCCTCCTTTTCAATCCTTTGATTCTATTAATATTTATAGTTTAAGATAAGTTCTAAGTGGCTTGAAATATGGGTTTTTCCTTGACACACAACACTTATCCATATGTGATAGATTTAATTGTTATGGATAATTTTAGAGTCCTAATTTGACCCACTTTCTTTTTGGAAAATCCACTGAAATAATCTCTCCACATATTCAAATATGGTGAAAAAAAACATTGGACAAATTCCATAAATTCATTTTTTCTGACTCACAACAACTATTTATGCGTATTGATTGTTCGAAGCCTTACAGAATTTCTGTCCAAACACTGGGTAAGATTGAGAGTAGAGTATGTTTTTTCTTCGATTTATATGTTTGAAAATGCGAATCTGTTTTTTGAAAATTATTTTCGGCGTTCAAGGAGAGTATGTCTATATACCTCGAATTGTCATGGATATTTGCGATTTTTGAGGAAATAATAAGAGATAACTGTCTGCAGCAATAAAAAGGACGTCGAGTGAAGACAATATTGGTAAAAATGGGCCAAGTCATTTTCTCTTCCAACATGTTTATTTGTAGTTCTTTTTATTTTCTACAATAATGCCGAAGACACCTAATCGTTATCTATTTCCAATAGCGAGAAAAATGCAAAAAAAAATCTTTTCCGCTCAATGCTGAGTTGTGTCACTTTTGCTCGCAACTTTATTTGTCTTTTTTTGCTCCAAGTTTTTTTTGCGTCACAGAGCTCATAAGTTGTTCTTTCATTCTATGGGTGTCAATCAATAATATTCACCATATACACCGGCAACGAGTGTTTTTAAAAAATAGCTAATGTTTCACTCCAATGGACGCCGCCATATTAAAAAATTTACGTGCAATTTGATGGAAACACTCAATAGTTCCGTTTTTTAGATAATGAATCTATATAGATAGTACTAGCCGTCAAATATGAATACATTTATGTATCTTTGTATAGAGTTTTACCACCGTTTGATGTTCACGCTCAATGTGTTTACACTGTACAGAGTTTGAATCTGTTTCAAGTTGTTCTCGTGTAGAGATCGTCTTTGTGTAAATTCAATTGGACAATTTAGGTATAAATTTATAATAAGGACTCATGGGTTTTTTCTCGGACGCACTACAACTATTTATATGATTTGAAATATTTTATTTACATTCTTTCAGTTGGTTGATTGACATAAATTTGGAAAAACCCACACAGAGAGAAATTAGGTTACGTCAAACATCACAAAGTGTTGAGTCACAAGACTACGGGTAGGAACTCAGATAAAATTCCAAGGTCAATAAAAAAAACCTTTTGGATAATGTAAGAAAAGCTCTGTACATTCAAGAAATCTCATATAATTCAACGCCAATTTCTGCGTCAGATGGAATATAAACTGAATTTACAAGTTAATGAAAGAAAACAAACCAGTGGCATTTTTAGAAAATTGAAATTAATTTTGTTTATTTGTCATCTATCTCATAATGATTTCAAAACAAAATATCCGTAAAATTTTGTGAATACCTTCAAAAATAATTTTATTTCTTTGAAAATTAATTTCAATATAGGATAGGATAACTGGCTGCTTGAGCAATTCCGCAATTGTCGTTTTGGTCTCGAGCCATTCTGATGTATCCATTCTCTCCCCACGTTATTCCCTGCGCGAAAAAGAATGAAGATATATTTAGGACAATAATCACAAAAGCTGACATCTTGAGTATTCAACTTACCCAGCTATTTTTGACGATATAGTATTTGCCAGCAGGATCTTCATTATATCCAACAGCAACGGCTGCATGATCCAACATCTCAAGATCGCAGCTTTCATCAAAGTAAAGTCCTCTTTTATAATCCTTCATTGACTCGGGTGCATTGAATGCAACGGAGATTGGGCCGACGGTAGAAATTGCCTGCTGTAATTCCGCTTCATTGCCTTGCCGAATAACTCTATAGCCGCTAACATATGCAGCCGAATTCCTGCTGTTGTATCGGCATCGTCTGGGTTGAGTATCTGCAGTGTCTCCTGCGCTTTCGTATTTATACGTCTTTTCTGTGTTAATTCCACCATTATTGTGGACATACTGGAAGGCATCATTCATTGTTCCGATGCCACATCCATTGTTTTCATACCTATTTGAATTTGAACATGTTAAAATTTGAATTACTTTTTATGTTTGAACATTTTCTTTACGTGCAATCGATGAGGTTTTGCTCCGACAATGACACTAATTTTCTGTGCTTTATTTTATTTTGGCCCTCAATGGCTCCCGTGGCAGAAAATGCCCTGCAAATTGGAAACATTAACCAATAAATATGAAATTATTCAACTTGTGGTTTACGGCAACACTAACCAACATGCACCACATGATCCTTGGTACTTCACTTCAGTTACAGCCGATTCTTGTCTCCAGTCAACGCTTTTTTTGGCTGGAGTATTATGGGATCCTTCGAAGTAGTTAAGAGTCGCATTGAATCTGAATTAGAAGCATTTTTTGTATAAAAAACGATACGTAATTATTCCATTGTCAATTATGAAATTATTGACTCTTTGATTTAAAAAAAAAAATTGAATCGAAGCCATATTTCCTTACCTAAAGTTTGCTGCCGGTTTATATCCAAGATAAGTGGCTGAGAACTCTTCGAATGTCATATCACTGAATTCATTCAAACCCATTTCGTATGTGACAAGGCCTTCATCGAATAGTTTGTTATGCTCAGCGATCTTTTTTCTGGTTCGTAGAAAGATGTTCATACGAAGATCGTGCTCTTCATCATTGGCATAGCTCTTTTTGTGTTCTACCTTGAAAAGTGCAAGTGTACGAAAAATTAATTAAAAAAACATCTTTCGACGGTGTTTGATATTTTTTTCCAAACAAAAAAATTTAATGTATGAATTTTATTCCTTTTCCAACCTTATATTGCGCCCAATCATTTTTCTCTGCAATCGAAAATGCGTTTGCAATGGTAAGGAGACCAAGAAATAGAGCCAACTGCTTGTACATGGTTCAAATTATGTCTTAGTAAACTAATATAGAAGTCGGTGTAACTAAGAAAAAACTAGTTCTGTGTTCTGTTCATTCGGCTTGTAAGACAAAACTGAATGCTTCAAAGCGATTGTCGTTGCGTTTTTATACAATTAAAGTGTATAATGAAAATCCCTACTTTTCAATCCTTTTATTATATTACATTCGTACGTTGAGATAAAGTCTAACTGCGTTAAACTATGAAATTTTTCTCTAATGCGTCGCAAGAAAAGCCTCTGAAATAATCTCTCAACGTATCCAAATATGGTAACATAAAACGCTCGTATGACGTTATATTTGCGTAGTTTCCTTATCATCGATAACAGACAGAATGCAGCATATGTGTAGAATTCTTCTTGCTTTACTTAGCTGCATCCAAGGCACGATTCATGTGAAACAATTTTTTCTCATCATTTTCCGCGTAGAGAAAATACGAAATGAGGTCGAGCTGACTTCGCTTATGGACGTTTTTCTCCGGCTCACATCAACTGTTTATGTGATAAAAATAAGTTCAGATATTTTAGTGCACTTGAATGATTCATTTACGGAAAATCCTCTGATACTTTCAATCATGATTCAATGAACTAATTTGCAGAAGGAGTTAGTAATCGAATGATTATTTTATTTTTTACATGGAAAAACTTGAATAACGAAAAAATCCGACCATTTATTTTCGACTTGAACTTATATCAAAAGTTTTTTTTTAATAATATTTCCTATGTTAAATCACTGCAATTGCCCTGCATCCATTCAACGTTCTCTCAGAATTTTAAATTGGATGAGAAAATTGTCAAAGACTGATTGGATTTATAGAATAGGGAAAGCTGGAACTGTAGCGACTCCACAATGATTCTTCCGATTGCGCGCCAGTCTCATGTAACCGTTTTCGCCCCAGCTGCGTCCCTAATTAAAAGAAAATGGGTTAATAATTTTTTTCATTAACTTAAATCTCAAATCACTATGGTGGTACGCGCATAAATGTGATTTTGTTTCATAAATTCAATGCTCATAAATCGATTTATGTCAATTTAGATGAAGTTTAACCATGGCATTTTGAGATTTACAATTGGAAAAATCCATAAAAGTCAAGAAATCTAATACCCAGCTATTTTTAATGATATAATATTCTTTGCCACGTTTATCAGTTCCAAAGCCGACAACGAGGACCGCATGATGCAAATATTTATTATTCCTACGGCATTTTGGCTCATAGTAAATCCCATTCGAATAATGTTGAAATGATTTATGCGAAGCGTCCACACAAACCGATATTGGGCCAATATTTGCGATCGCTTGTTGCAAGCTTGTTTCATCACCTTCTGGAAGATCTTTGTATCCCTTAATTGTGACAGCTGAATTTCTCGAATTATACCTGCACAAACCACTGTCTCCTCGATATGGATACGATCGAGCAGTTTCAAGTCCATTGCGTTTAATATAATCAAACGCTTTATGTATTGATTTTGGTTGGCATTTGTTTTTAGAATTTGCACAATCGACTAAATTTTGGGCAGATAATTGGACCAAGCGACCAGTTTTACGGAAAATTTGTGCTTCAACGGTTCCTAGTACCGAGAAAGCCCAGCACGAAAGGCATTTACCCTGCGCTTCCACATTAGTTACGGCTCCCTTAGTTCGCCAGTCAATCGATTTTGGCAAAACTGCATGCACCAGCTGCATTAAAGGAGATGGTTCATCGAATGTTGTGTTTCTTTTGCGCAACAAAAACATTTCGAAAACAAAAATAATTTTGAAATTAAAAAAACAAACAGCGTAGATTGACACAAAAATTAATTATATCGGAATGTATTGAAAATAATTGAAATGTGAAATATGACTCATTTGTGTTTACCTCGAAGCACTCGAACCATCATATCGCACTCCATTCATTTGAGATACGAATTCGGTATGCGATAAATCGCTGTACGCATTCAGACTCATTGTGAATGAAACGATCCCTTCGTTAAAGAGCTGATTGTGTCTCATCACTTCGTTTTTGTTTTGCAAAAATATGCCCATGTGAAGTCTATCATCCGCTTGATTTTGATATTTTTTCGAATATTTTGACTGTGGAATCAAAAGAACTCTTTCATCATTCAAATTCCACGAACCTTTTTTCTACGAATTTCATACAATCTGATTCATGATTAAGAATAAAAAAACATGCGCATTTTATCGATCACATACCTTATACTCATCCCATTCATGTGAATTGATGACGGAGCCATTGGTGGCAGCGAACAGGTACACGAATACAATAAGGAACTTATTCATTGTTTGTTGTGTCTGTAAATAAAAATATATTGAACTCATTGAATCTCCAGAAAGTATATCGTTACAATGCTGTACGCATTAAGTCATTGTTCTACTTAATTTGCACATGCATTCGTCATTGCATTAAGAACGCAGCTGTTTTTTGTTCCTTTTCAGAATATTTTTTGTTGTTTATCAAAAACATGGAAGTTACCTATTTATTGAAATGAGGAAATCGATGTGGTTCACGCAACGTTTCAACACTAAATAATTGTTCAATCGTAGGTACGATTTATATAGGATTTGGGCGACAATCGATGATGAACTTTTTACACACGTCAGTTTTATCTGATTACGTCTAGAATTTTGTTGATTTCATTGCCTTGTTTATTTTACGCATTTAAGCTGCATTTTTTTATTCTTAGAAATATTTCTCATCCGAAACAATTAACTTTCTTATGAAAGTAGCTGCATGAAATTGCGCCGAAAAAGTTGATTGAAAATATATTTTTAGTTAAGTGACTGTCGACAGTCTCATTGTGTATCAGCTGAACTCAAATTTTTGTTTGTTGAATATTCTCGATGTGTGCGGCGAACATTGAATCAAAATTTCATTGAATCTACTCCAGACAACGTTGCATTGTTTATAATTATAGTGACAATGTAATTTATTCAACACTTTTGTATGATTAATGGTAGATAATCTTGATTGCACCAATTATGAGTAGTTTCCATATGATTTTGCAGTTGCATTTGTAAACGAGATGCTAATTAATTTTAATAGATCAGACAAATCACTAGTGGAAAGTGTTAAAAACAATGAAGAGAGAATTGGTTCCAATGCCGCAGGCGATTTGGGATTGATTGATGGTGACTTTTCACCTCCCACACAAACAATTACTGCTTTATTGGAGATATAATTCGAGCAATCAGGTGAGTCACTGAGCATTATTAGCGCATTTCTGAGCAACATCGCAGGATCTATTTGATTTGAACCATCTGACCTTGTGACATGTTTGGAAATGGCCTTTTCTTAGAATAGTGATTGATCTGTAACTTTCATTACAACTGTCGCAACTTGAATATATATCTAATGATACTTGTTTTCCATTTGGTTTAGTCATTAAAATCATGTGTCTCTTGTACAACACTTGCAATGTGAATTTTATTTTCATTATTACATGTTTCGCTTTATATTTGATATCAAGGTGAATTTATCAATAAAAAAAATCTGATCTTCAAACATTCTATTAAAAATTGCAATCTTTCCTTAATGCACACAAGATCGATCGTTTTCATTGATAATTTTGAAACACTTTCAAAATTTTCGAATAAACAATTGAATGAGTACAGGTATCTAAATAATAATCGGCGTGATTGAATTTGGTATCATTTATATACTGAACATTGACCACATTTTTCATTTTCGATGTCAGCTTTTTAATGTCCTGTACGCTGATGGGTCGGTCGGAAGCCGAGAAATGAAGTGAAACTGGTGCGGTTATCTTTGAAAGCGGAAAATCTAATGGTATTTTGGACGCACTATTCATGTACCGCCCAAAGTGTCCGTATTTGATCTGCTGCACATAATGTAGAAATTGGTTAAATGAAGCGCAACTAGGATAGTGACACATGTATGACAGATACATTGTCTAAAATAACAAATAAATTTCTTAATCAAAGTGATGATTGATATTTTGAATCTATCAATTGAAATAAATTTTGCAATCATGATTATCTCATGTTCTGAGCGTTGCGTAAGATTAAAATAGAATTTCGTGTTGCTGCTTATTAATTAGAAGAAACTTGTTTCGATGCATATTCCCGTGTTTAATGCAAATCCGAAACCTCAAATTCCACTCTGAAGAAAGCATTTGAGAGTGTTTTTAGCTTGTATTTTAGCTTAAGGCAACTGACACATCGTTCCGAAATGTGTGTTTGAAAATAAGATTTTTGGTTTGGATCATTGTTTTTATTGGAATTTGAAAAAAAAAAAATACAATGGGTTAAGTCAATGAACACTTTGTTGTTTAAATCACCGGATATGTAGCTTCTGTCGCTATTCCGCAGTGATTCTTCCGATTGCGCGCCAATCTCATGTAACCGTTTTCGCCCCATTCGGTTCCCTAATTAATAGAAAATGGGTTATTGATTTGTTCATTATCATAATTATGATAGATAGATTTAAATCTCAAATCACCATGATAGTACGCGCATAAATTTGATTTTATTTTAATATATATTCAATGCTTATAAATTGATTTATATCAATTTAGATGAAGTTTTACCATGGCATTTTGAGATTTTCAATTGGAAAAGTCCGGAAAAGTCAAGGAATCTAATACCCAGCTATTTTTTATGATATAATATTCTTTGCCACGTTTATCAGTTCCATAACCCACGACAAGCATAGCATGGTTTAAATCACGATTGCGTGATCGGCATCTTCGGTCGTAGTAAATTCCACCGGAATAAAATTGAAAGGATGGTCGCATAGCGTCCAAAGAGACGGACAATGGACCAATATTTGCAATCGCCTGTTGCAACCTCATTTCGTCACCATCCGGAAGATCTCTGTATGAGCGAAGTGTTGCAGCAACATGTCGCCGATTTTTTTTGCAAGTACTACCGAACCCACGGTATGGATACGATTGTTCAGTCTGAAGGCCACCGTTTCGTTTGATATAATCAAAAGCATTGTGAATTAAGTTACCATCACATTTATCATCATCATCGTCAGTGATACAGTCGATGAGGTGCTGTGCAGATAATGGCACTAAACGGCCTGTTTTACGGAATTTCTGAGCTTCTAGTGTGCCTGCAACCGAAAATGCCCAGCAAGCACCGCATATACCTTGCTTCTTAACCGCACTTACCGCACCTTTCTTTCGCCAGTCAACTGATTGTGGCAACTTAACACTCGCAAACGACATTAATTGCGGTTCGTCAATTGTCTTATTTCTCCTACGAACGTAGAATGAACAAAATTAAAAGACACAAGAATAATTAATTTTAAAAAATGTTGGATTGTGGAATGCCGTTTGAAGTCAAAATAAGTGATACTCAAACTATTTTTTTCATCTTACATCGGAGCCTGCGATCGTATGTGCTTTGTTTCCCTCATACTTGCTGCGAAATCAGAATGTTCGACATCACTGTAACTATTTAGACTCATTGTGTATGAAACGAGCCCATCGTTAAACATTTGATTGTGTTTTTCCACCTCATCTTTGTGTTTTAGGAATATTCGCATATGATGTCTTTCGTCAGCCTGATTTTTATATTTTTTCCCGAAATTCGTCTGGATCGAATTGATAGCATAGGTTGACAACAATTATTTTTGGACGAAATTTCTTCACTTTCAACTAAATTTCTTCAATGATTGTGATCTTTTTATTACGAACTATTATCAAATAAGTTTTTCGTTGAATTTTACCTTAAATGCGTTCCACTCGCTTAAATTACTTGATGAGACGCTGACGATGGCAAAAACACACGCGAAAATAATCAGAAACGTGTTCATTATGTTATATCTGCAAATAAAATTGAACAGAACAAATAATGAAAACAACTTTTGTTATTAATAAACTGTCCGTTCAGCTGTTGAAATATTTCCCAAAGTACGGAATTTACTTTTTTCGCTGAAATATTATTATTGAGATGATAATGTTGTTCACCGACGACTCAACACTAAATAAATTCTTAACAGACAATCCTGATTTATATATATGATGGGCCTGATGTACAAAATCGAGGAGATGGTCTTGCAATTTCATGTGATCGCGTCTGTTTTTGCCTTTTCAATTCATTACGTCATTAATTCTTTTTTTACTTTATTTAATTACGTCGTTCATTTTTTATTTGCACACACACATTTGGTTCTAAGAAATTTTTTCTCGACAAATTAAGCCGCTTCCTAACAAGTGCAAACATGCGAAAGTAAAATGCGTAATCAAATTTGGATTAGAACATATTTTTAGGCGTTTCGTCTATTGATGCTGTTTTATTGAATTAATTTTCCAGCGAAGTATTCCAGCAATCAATTTTTAGTTCAATATTCTATTCTATTTATTATATATTTCGAAGCATGCATTATTTTAATGGGCAGCTCTTGCCCATTTGGGCAGTTCTAAATCCCAAATGGGCAGCTCAAAACTCAAAAATGGGCAGTGTTTTACTTAAATTTTCTTGAAAATGGGCAGCTCTAAAAATTTCTTGAAATAATGCATGATTCGAAGGCATCATGTCTTGAATGAACACGTTTACCAAGTGCAGCAGAGCGATTGTACTTTACACAATTGATAAGATGTTGCTTAAATAATGACACCAAATGGTCTGTTGCTCAAAAATAGAATAATAGTACGGACCGTTGAAAATGGCCAGCACAAATCACATTCGCCCTGCCTCTTTACAGGTGTAACGGCCTTTTTGCCAATCAACATTCGGCCATCTGGTGAAAAACATTTTCTTTGTCATGTGTGTTTTAAATAGTAGACAAAAGATTGGTCACTTTGTCATGAGTCACATAAGGCTCTCTTGATGTTTTTCCGATTCATTGAGAGCGTGATGAAATTTTGCTCTTTTGTTGCTTCACAGTAGTTTTTATTTTAGTAATAGCTTGCATCAGGTGTTTGAAAACTGGTGCAGAAATAATCAAACTCAATTTATTGTTTCCGTGATTTATCGATTCGATTGTTTCCAGGAAATAGAAGAGATACATTTGCAACATCATTTTGAGTCGTGATAAATGTATTGGGAAAATCAAAATAAAACATCTACAATCAAAAATACGCACGTTACCGACTAAATTGACTCAAACATGTGTAAATACAATGGAAATTGCAAACTTTATTCGCAAATGAGTGTTTTTTTGGTGTCCATTTTTTGCTCGTTTTCTTCTATCTGTGTGCATTAGATGAGCTATCTCGAATCAAGAGTCAGTGGATCCACAATATATATGCAAACATATCGTATGGTTTGATTCAGCGCCGCATGCATAGTAAAACAACCGCAACGATGTGACGCATGGAGACCGTTGGCATTGATGAATCACTCCACATATGTATCGCTATTCACACACGCACGTAAAATGGATTGCATTTCTTAGTATAAGCGATTTTTTTCTTGTATTTACGTCATAGCCATAAAGAGGAAATTTGGTTGTATTGGTTATGAAACTTGACAGTGACAGAATTTTTTTGTATACATGTTATAAAGAGTGTGAACCAACTCTGTGGAATTAGTTGTTTTATTTGCGTCATACGAATAGTCGCATTTTGAGCCGGTATAAAAAAACAATATCGATAAATAGAGTTCATTTTTATTGTTTTAACAAAATAAAAACTAAATACTAACAACAAATGAAATTCATCCCGAATCCGAGTCAAAATGAATGTGGTGAATTATCTGAAATCCAATTCGTTGGATCAAATGAAATCAGAATATTCATTGCGAATTAAAGAGTATCAAGAACAAGGTTTAATAGTTCTGAATTATTTGACTTTGGCAAAAAAATCGGCAATTCCAAACGAGTGTCGTGGTTTAATATTATCGACTGACTGGAAAGTGATATCAAGATCATTTGATCGATTTTTCAATTACAACGAAAGCGGCTGTGCATTGCACAACAATGACGAATGTTACGCGATTGAAAAGATTGACGGCAGTATAATCAAAATCTATCATTTCAACAGTATGTGGAATGTTTCAACGCGCGGAACTGCATTTGCGGAATGTACTATCGCTGATACACACACAACATACAAACAAGCTGTGTTTGAAGCTCTGGGGCTTATTAATGCTGGCGACGCTATCAATGAGCAAGACGAAGAGCGATTTCAACAATTTTGCCGAGATTGCAACATGAATGCCGAGCTAACGTATATTTGTGAATTGACTGGAAAAAATAACCATATTGTAACTCAGTACAATCCGCACAAATACGAACTCTGGTTGCTGGGCATTCGACGCAACGATTTAATCGGAGAATATACATGTGTGAATTCTGTGCAGCTGACTGATACAATTCTTCAACCGAAACAGTTCACGTTTAAAAATATAGAGGAATGCGTCGAACGGGCAAATAATCTCCCAGATTTGCAAGAGGGCTTTGTGATCTACAATCGAGCAACATCCGAACCAATTTTGAAAGTCAAATCACCAATCTATGTTCATGTACATAATTTTACAACGAACGGCAGCACCACATATAATGATGTTTGCAGAATGATTGTGAACGGCGAATGGACGGAATTTTTGGCTTATAATCCAAATCAAAAACATACATTTGATGAATGTTTCCTGGCCATTGGCAAATATTTTGAAACAGCACAAGCTGAATATGAAGAACTATGCAAAATTATCAAATCTGAGAAAGATTTTCAAAAGTTCATGAAGAAACCATGGAAAGCGCTTGCAATCGCAACATTCAAGAAGAAAGAAGGAAACTTGCGCGAAGAGTTTTCGAATTGGGATGAAGCAAAACAATTGGAATTTTTGTTAAAAGAAGTAATACGGAATATGGATGAGAATTGATTGGAATAATTAATAACGGAATAATTCTGAACTAATTTATTTTACACATGGATTTTTTATAATAAATAAAACTTGGAAAATTAAACATTTGAATTTTTATTGGGTAGCAAATATTAAAAGAGATTATTATAGATAGAATGCAGCAAAATCAATAACTTCTACGTTTTGAAATCGATGATTTTGGAAGTTCTATTGTTCATACATAATTAGAAAGGTTCTTCTGGCAAATATTTGAAATTTTCATACGTTTTCTTTGTCCATACATAATGGATATAATTCGTACGTATTTATTGAATTTTTCTATCATTTACTTCTCACCTTTTGTATACGTCGAGTTTTTTTTCAACATTCAATTAAAATGAAATAAAAAAATAAAGCAAATACTATTCTGAGCTATTTGCTTGAAACCGTTAATTTTGTTTAAAATACTTTGCCACCACTAAAAATTGTTTTCTTTTCAAAAACCTCCGCGCAGGGTTGCATCACATGGGAACGATCATATGTGTTATCGTTCTAGTATGCAGTAGCTGTCAAGCTCATGCATGTGTGAGTAAGTTTACCCGTCTCTCTCTTTCTCTCTGTGTTGCTACAATTTGACATATGCGTATGCCTATTAAGGCAGGGACTGCGAAACAATTGTGTATAATTAATTTTGTATTCGACATCATTCAAACAGTCGCATTTTGAGCTGGTGTAAAACAGTAAAGTCAAATAATAACGAAAAATTGAATTTATTACAAATTCGACTCAAAATGAACGTTGTAGAATATTTAAAATCCAATTCATTGGATCAACTGAAGGTGGAATATTCTATGAGAGTAAAACAGTATCCAGAGCAAGGTTTAATTGTTTTAAATTATTTGACGAGTTCTGAAAATTCGTCCATACCAAACGAATGTTGTGGCTTGATTTTATCAACTGACTTCACAGTGGTCTCGAGATCATTTGATCGGTTTTTCAATTACAACGAAAGTGACAGTGTATTGGATGACGACGACGAATGTTACGCAGTCGAAAAAATTGATGGTAGTTTGATAAAAATCTATCACTTCAAAAATATGTGGTACGTTTCCACACGCGGAACCGTCTTTGCAGAATGTATTGTCCCCAATACAAGTACTACATTCAAACAAGCTACATTTGAGGCGTTGGGGCTTATAAATTCTGAGGACGCTATCAATGAGCAAGCCGAGGAGCGATTTCAACAATTTTGCCGAGATTGCAACATGAATGCCGAGCTAACGTATATTTTTGAATTGACTGGAAAAAGTAACCATATCGTAACTCAATACAATCCACATAAATACGAACTCTGGTTGCTGGGCATTCGACGCAACGATTTAGTTGGCGAATATACAGACGTGGATTCCGTGCAGCTGACTGATACAATTCTTCGACCGAAACAGTTCACGTTTAAAAGTATAGAGGAATGCGTCGAACGAGCAAATAATCTGCAAGACTTGCAAGAAGGATTTGTAATCTGCGACCGAACAACACTCGCACCCATTTTGAAGGTTAAATCATCGACTTACGTTCATGTTCATAATTTCGTGCCAAACGGTTGCATCGTAGATAAAGACATTTGCAGAATGATTCTGAACGGCGAATGGAGAGAATTTCTGGCCTATTCTCCACACCATAAACAGAAATTTGGTGATTGTTTTGAGGCCATTGACACTTATTTCGACACCGCACAAGCTGAATATGAAGAATTGAGAAGGAATATGAAATCTGAACAAGATTTTCAAATTTTCATGAAGAAACCGTGGAAAGCGCTCGCGATTGCGACCATTAAGAATGAAGATGCAAATTTGCGTGAAACATTTATGAATTGGGATGAAATGAAGCAACTGAATTTTTTGGTAAAAGAAGTGATGAGAAATGGTTAAGTTTTGATGGAAATAACCAGGTTGAAAATTTGAACTCATATTTGATTTTTTCACACAATAATAAAATGAATGAATTGTAAAAAAATGAGCATCTGTTTTTCTTTTATTTTTTACCTCATATTTCTTAAACATTTAATTGGAATCATATGAAATATAAATTTGTCAGTCCTGTATGTTTACCTGCGTTTTACTTGTTCTGCATATATATAATTATCCTGAAGTTCTTTTATTTAATTTTCTAATGACTCTCTAACTAAATCATACAAAATGTCAGTCACTTTGGCAACAAGCTATTTGTTGTTGCTTTGAACGAAGAGACACCACCGGATAATTGAAGGTATTACTCGAATAACTGAAGAAAATTTTCCATACATGATTACTTTTTGTATATGATTCTGGACACATTCAAAAATAGAACGAACGTCGAAAAATAATTCAATTTCAACTGAAACAGCATTTTATCTATTTTATTTCTTTCACGTTTGAGCCCATTTCAATTTATTTCTTAAATGCTGGAAATAATTTTTCGGCTTAAATATTTCTAACGAGTCAAATCATTGAATTCAATTTAATTGGATTCAAACAATAGGATTTTTTCAATTGAATTTGAAATTTTTTCACTTTTCCAACGATCAAATTGATTCGAAATACTAAACAAGAGAATCGTTTAAAAGTCGAGAGTTTAAACAAGTGGATAGATACCCACAGACGCAATGCCGCAGTGATTATTTTTGTTGCGAGCCATTTTGATATAACCATTATTTCCCCACGATTCGCCCCAGCTATTTTTTACGATATAATAGTCTTGTCCATTTTCATCAGTTCCGTATCCAACCGCTAGAACAGCGTGATCCAAATTCAGCAGACTGCAATTTTCATTCGTGTAAATGCCTCTGCTTAAATGTCGGAAGGCCAAACCTGTCGAATCAATGTAAACAGAGATTGGACCGACAGTGGCAATGGCCTCTGTCAATTTCTTTTCATCACCTTCTGGAATGACCATGTAACCATCAATGGTGGTGGCTGAACTTTTTGGATTGTATCTGCAAACATTGTCTTTGGCTTCGTATGGATAGCATCCTTCGAGATTAATTCCGACATTATCTTTTATGTATTTGTAAGCTGAATCCACCCAACCGCCGTTGCAACCTTCATTTCCATACGATTGTGAGCAATCGATGAGATTTTGCTCAGAAAAAGGCACCAATTTACCCGTCTTGATGAAGTGTTGCGATTCTAATGCCCCCGTGGCGGCGAATGCCCAGCATGAGCCACATGGATTTTGATCTTTTACTTCAGTAACAGCTCCCTTGTCTCTCCAATCGACATGTTCTGGTATAGTCGCATTGCTTGATCCAGTGAATTGGGTCCTTGCTCCTCTAGAATAATATCGTTTGCTTTGAAAGAAAATAAATTGTGAATAATAATGAAAATTGAAATCAATGTTCAGTTTAAGTTCGCGTATGTGCATATTTTCTTACTTCCGGCCGCTATGGTGCTTATATCCCTTCATTTGTGAAGAAAATTCACTGTCAGTTAAATCACTGTATGCATTTAATGCTACTTCGTACGAAATCTCTCCATCATAATAAAGATTATTGTGTTGGTCAATCAAAATTTTATTCGCTATGAAAATAGACTTGCGATAGACTTCTTCTGTTTCACTTTCATATGATTTCGAATGTTCGCTCTGCAAAGAGTTATCATGAAGTTAGATATTAAATACTTATATTATTCAAAAGGTATTAATTCTGGATATGATGCCAACCTTAAAAGATTCCCATTCGTCGTCGAGAGATTCTTTGCCTATGGAGTTACTGATAACCGTAAGAAGACCAACCAGCAAAACACATGATATCCGCTTATTTGCCATATGTGCTTCTATAATCTTTTCTCTGGAGAATTATCAGTGTTATAAAGAAGTTCTTTATTACGAGATTTTGCAATGTATTTTACCAAATCACAACAAGCTGCTTACCGCCGACAGTAGCAAATCCGAATTAAACTACATTGTACGTTTGCTCCAGCACTTTTTAAATACTCTTTCAAATCAAGGAGAATGTGTTTAAGTTTAATTTATGTGGGCGGTTGCAAAAGCATTCATGTGAGACATAAAATTGTCACCATTCTTATAAATTATGTGTCAATTTAGTTGCAAATTTTAACATACTTGAACTAATTTCTATAGATATTTGCAAGGTTTCGAATTTTTTGTAGTAATTACAACGAAAAGAACGGAAGTGATGTACAAGTGATGTGCACGAAGGAGATTATGAATGCGTTCAAAAAACATATTTGCTTGAAATTACATTTTTGCAAAAACTACGTCATTTATTCGTATTCGAACGAATAATTTTTATATATTACGTCAATACCTTTCGAGTTCATAGTGTCTTTCTGCTTGCATACGGGCGAGTAGTATGATATATCGAATTTTCTATATTCAATATTTTCAAAGCCATTTATTTTCGATCGTGGATCAATAAATGCATAGAAAATATGACATGGATGTTTGGCTTTTGTACTTCGGATACTACAAGAAGAGCGAGGTTAAAGAAAAGACAAATCGTGTATGCCCATTTCGTTTGCAGATCCAATTTATTTCATTGCTTAACAACAACTTTTCATGGCCAAATTTATTTTTATTTTTTTTTTACGATTAAATTGATTCTAAATACTAAACGAGTGGATAGCTGGCCGCAGACGCAATGCCACAGTGGTTGTTTTTGTTACGCGCCATCCTGATAAAACCATTTTCACCCCAACTCGATGACCAGCTATTTTTCACGATATAATAGTCTTGTCCGTTTTCGGTTCCGTATCCAACTGCCAAAACACCGTGATCTAAATTATCCGAACTGCAATTATCCTCACTATAAATGCCACTGGAATAGTGTTGAAACGATGGATTGGACGCATCGATGGCAACAGAAATCGGGCCGATCGTAGCAATTGCCTCTTTCAATTTATCTTCATCTCCTTCGGGAATATCTACGAAACCGCTAACAGTTGCACCGGAATCTTTGTCATTGTATCTGCAATTATCGTTGCGACCTTCGTACGGATAACTCTGTTCGGTATCGATACCACCTGAACCAGAAAGAAATTCAAAAATAAGTAATAAAAAAGACGAAAACTCATCGAATATGGGCGTATCAATAATTTACCGTTGCTTTTAATATACTGGAATCCTTGGTCCATCCAACCGCCATTGCAGCCTCTGTTTCCATACGATTGCGAGCAGTCGATGAGGTTTTGCTCCGATAATGACACCAATTTTCCCGTCTTCATGAAATGTTGTCCTTCAACGGCGCCTATTACCATGAAGTTAGATATTAAATACTTATATTTTATAAAATGTATGGTATTAATTGTTTACCTGTTGTTGAAAATGACCAGCATGAGCCACATCGCCCTTGATCTTTGATTTCAGTGACGGCGCCCTTTTGTCTCCAATCAATCGAATCGGGAACATCTGCATTAGCTCCCTCGAAGAAAACAGTTGCATTTGGATTGTTTCGTACTCTAAAAACAGAACTTTGAATTTGTTTGACTTCAAACAGTAATTCACATCAGTAAATCCGTTTACCTCAAAGACGTTCTCAATCCATTCATTTCCGACACAAACTCTTCGTGTGTTAGATCACTGTACTTATTTAAACCATATCGATAGGAAACTTCTCCTCTATTGAATCGCTCGTTATGCTGCCGAACTCGTATTGAATTCTCCAGGTAAATGTTCATTCGACGAGTGTCTTCGAAGTAATTTCTATATCCCTTTCCGTGTTTAAACTATAAAAATTGAAAATAATTTGGTTGAATGTGTTTCTTTTTTTCAAATGTCAAACCAAGTGTTTCTCTCACCTTGTAAGTAATCCAATCGTGTATGTCAAAGAGTGTAAGTGCATTTGAAAATGAAAATAGTCCAAAAATCAAGGTGAATCGACTGAACTTCATTTTGACAGATTTAAATGTAACATATGAGAATTAATCACTTGGGAAAAAATCCTTTCTGAACGCGGAAAAATGCACTTGATAAATCACTTCTGATTTGAAAGCTTTTAAAAATACACACATCACACTTCTCTGCAGCAAAAAATCGATTCTTTTCAGCGAATAAGGTAGTCGTTTGTCAAGAAACACTAATTACACACGGTAGAAATGACTTTCATGACGATCACACTCGAAATGCACAAATAAAACGCCACACTTCAATTACATGAAATTTATGGCATTGCGTTCTTGAAAGTTTGCTTGCACATGTGAAATGTTTAGTTAAGCAAGTCGGCACTTTATCACATGCTTACATGCTTTATCATATGCTTTTGAGCATTTCTTTTTTGCAAAAAGACTTGTTTTTAGCTGCGTAAGACTTCACTTCCGAATACTTGGCTTCCGCATGTTTTTGAAATAAAATTGACGCTTTAAACTCTTTTTTTATGATTATTTGAATCTTGCGTAAGCTTACATATAAAAATAGTAGTATGGGAATCAGTATGTGTCATTCAGAATTTTGAATCTTTATTTGAAAAAGATGAATTTCAACACGTAGTCAACTTCTGAACATGCAAAATGTAAATTGTCTTTAAAGAAAATATCAATTTTCAGAATTATTTTCTATTTTCAAAATTTGATCGCCTAAATTTTAATATTTCAATAAAGATAATTCAGTAAACATGGACCAAAGAGCAAATCAGAATAAGTCATGTGAATTTGTCATCATTGTAGTGGCCGCCAGATCACGTTTCAAACCTGTATCAGTTTTCATACGGTTGCTAATTATCTACCAATTCCATGAATGTCAATACTCATGGAATGTACGACGTCGACATTTATTGCTTACAGATTGCAATGTGAAATACAATTTCAACGAAAAAACGTCATATAAAAACAAAATAGTTTTTTTTTAACAATAAAAATGACGTTTCGTCGTAGAAAAAGTTACAGTTTGGCTTAAAAAAAAAAGATTTTTTTTATTTGAAAGAAACAATAAATATACAATGCGTCAAATCAACGCGTAATCTATCTAATTTAATGACAAAAATTGATTAATCTACAACGATTTAAATCAAAACATCTAAACAACGGGGTAATTGGCATATGATGCGATAGAGCAATGGTTGTTTTGATTGCGAGGCATTCGAATATAACCATCTTCGCCCCAATCTCTGCCCCAACAATTTTTCACAATGTAATAATCAGCACCGTTCTCGTCCGTTCCATAGCCAACGATCAGAGCGCTGTGATCGTAGGTGTCTGAACTGCAGTTGGTTTCGTTATAAATACCACTTTTGTAATGTTGAAATGACATTTGCGAAGCATCAACAGCAACGGAAATTGGACCAACTGTGGCGATTGCTTCTTGCAATTTCAGCTCATTGCCTCTTGGGATGTCTTTGAAACCGCGAATGAAAACATGATTTTTATGAAAACTATGTTTACAAAAGCCATTAGATGCGCGGTACGGATACGATTTCTCAGTGTCGATACCGTGGTCTTTGACATATTTGTACGCTTCATCTACAATGCCACCATCGCAACCAGTATTCATATATTCTAGTTCGAATAAAGAAATCGAAGCGCAGTCAATGAGATTTTGAACTGATAACGGTTGCAATGGGCCATTTTTCTTCAAATATTGCTGACTTTCGATGGCTGATGTCGCTGCAAATGCCCAACACGAACCGCAGTCTTTTTGATCTTTAACTTCAGACACAGCACCGACTTTACGCCAGTCAATCATTTTCGGTAGGTGAAAATTAACCGAACCCACAAAGTAATCACGCTCTTCAGCTTCCGCTCCTTGTACTGATCTAAAAAATATGAAGAAAAAAAATTGAAAAATTGCGACCGAATGAAATTATAACAACAAATTTCTCTTACTGCAACATATCAGGAGGTTTAACTCCATTCATTCGGCGCACAAATTCTTCAGACGTCAAATCACTGTATTGATTTATGTCCATTTTGTACGAAACAAGTCCTTTCGCGTAGAGATCATTGTGCTCATTGATTGTTCGTTTGTTCTCCGAAAACACTTCCATACGATAGTTCTCTTCAGTTTCATTTTGATATTGCTTCGAATACTGCAACTAAATTACGGAAAAATTTCATTAAGATTAGAAGATTGAAAATGATTTGTTTTTTCAACAAAAATTAATTTAGTTTTGATTGAACAAAAACAATGAATAATCAAAATGATGAAATTTCTTACTTTAAAAGCGTTCCATTCGTTTAAAGCGCAGGGTGAAACGGCATTCACCACGGCGCATAATCCAAATAGCACAATCAGCAACTTTGTCATAATGTCTAACACTTGATATTTTCAAACAAATTTTAATCAATTATTCATTGGTTTGGTCACTAGAAGGTTTCAATCTTCGAGAAAATTAATCTTACTCGGCTGAAGTTTGAACACAAAAGTACAGTGTCAAGTGCATGCCATTGTTTACTTATACTTTTTTCCGACTGAGCAATTATGCAACAAAACAAAGTGAAATAATTCATGATAAATCAAAACAAGGTAACAAAAACCAAGTTAAAAACAAAAAATAACATTTGCTTCATCAAGACTACATTTTACGAAGGAGAGACTGTCGATTAGATTAAATTTGTCTTAGAAAATTCAAGCACGTACTGCTTCAGAATAAACAAACCTTAGTTGCAGCGCAGTAAAGATTTTTTATCGGATATTGATTTCATTTTACCACGAGATCACGTTTACTTTAAAACGAACTATACTTATCTCAATTTAAGAAGATTTTTTGCGTCATCCCATTTATTCAAAAGCAGAACGTCTAAATTGAAAATTGATAAAATCGGATGCAATCTTTTTTGCTACGTTTATTTGGACTATTTTAGATATTACACATGCGTTTATTGTTATATATTTCACCAGCTTAATTATTATATAGGGAAAAATTAAATAGAATCAAATCATATGACGGTTTTGCAATCAAATATTTGGAAATACAGCCATTGATGCAACGCCGCAATAGTTCATTTGATTTCGAGACATTCGAAAATAGCCATTTTCTCCCCAGCTACTACTCCAACTGTTTTTCAAAATATAATAGTCTCGATCATACTCGTCGGTTCCAAAACCAACCAGAAGAACAGCATGATTCAGGTCCGCATCATGTTTACTACAATTTGGTTCATGCCAAATACCTTCAGCATAATTATTAAATGAATGATGTTTTGCATCTATTGAAACGGAAATGGGGCCATGGATTGCAAGAGCTTTTTGTAGATCTTCTTCATTACCACTTGAAATACGTGTAAACCCATGAACGGTAACATTTGGCTTCTTTACACCTCTGACCGTCAATTTGCAATAATCATGATCGTGACCGTCGTAAGAATAAGCTTCCTCAGTGAAAATACCATGATCATGGATGTATTTGAACGCTTGTTCTGGCAGGCCGCCAGTACATCCATCGGTTCCATATATTCCCGAACAATCAATGAGATTTTGTTCAGATAACGACAGCAAACGGCCGGTTTTAAGAGCATATTGGCTTTCCACCGAACCAATGGCAGAAAAGGCCCAGCTAGAACCACAAAATCCTTGATCTTTTACTACAGTAACAGCACCTTTTTCTCTCCAGTCAACAGAAGTTGGTAGTTGAAAATCGTCGAATGCAACAAAAATTGAGGACTTATCATCTGTATCGATCTCACTTAATGAAAGAAAAATGGGAAAAAGTATCAATTTGTTCAATGAAAAAAGAAGATAAATATTTCTCACTGTATGTTGGGCTTGTGTCTACTCATCCTCTCGACGAATTCTTCGTGTGTCAAATCACTGTATTTGTTCAGTCCCATTTTGAATGGAACAATTCCATTCTCATAATGCAGATTGTGTTCATCGATCTTATGTTTGTGATCAACAAAAACTTGAAAATGATGCATCTCCTCAGCAGGTGTATCATAGTGCTTTGAATGCTCTTTCTACGGGTGAAAATAAAGACTTGATGTGAACGTCTTTTTCATTCGTCTAAAATCGAAAGCAACGGTTGCATTTCGTGTTCTTTATTTTCACTCATCGAAACAATGTCAAAAAAGATATTCGTTAATACGATTTAAATTCACCTTAAACTCGTTCTATAGACGTTCCTCAGACGTTGGAGAGGCCACAGCAAAAGCCGATATTAAAACGAACACAACAACACATTTACTCATCATATTTTTTTTTGCTTAGAAAATTCCGAATTTCCAAGTAAAAACGAGCACT